GGTGCCGCGTTCGTACGGAGATTGAATAGCAAGCTTCTTGCTCATTGGTAAGAGATGCACACTTGCACTGCACTGCTGGTACCAGCAGCAGAAATTCATATGTGCCACTCTCAGCCCCACTTACTCTTGGTCCGAACAAGTCCGTGACACCCAAAGAGCTTTCAAAGCAGGGATAGCCAAAGTGGAACGCTCATCCAGAGGGTCCAAGTACCGCCTGAGGATGGCTTTTCGGGGGTAGAAAGGGGTCTAAGTACCTCCTTAGAATTTACTTGGACCCTCCGGGTTATCCATGGCCCCTCAAGCCCACAGCAATGCCTTGCGCAGGGCGGCGCGCCGAGGGTTGGAAGCGGAGCCGCCGGAGCCGGAGTCGTACTTGCCAACCTCGGCCAGGAACCAAAGCGAGCGACAAATGGCGAGTGAGGAGATCCATGGACACTTTGCACCGGTCTACCCTTAAACAAAAGAAACTTGGAGTGTCACCATCAATCTTAGTGTTGCGATCCATTAAAACATTAAAAAAAAAAAAAAAAAAAAAAAACATGCCAAGAACATGGCAAATGATTTGATAGAGGTTCAGTGTACTGTGACCATTCTCCTGTGTAAGTCTCGCCCTATGACAAGTTAGAGCTCAAGCGATTCAAAGCAGACATGAAAGCCACAAATCGTGACCGCCCGCAGGTGTGCAACTGGTCACGACACACGATCACCCCCTGACAAAGAAGCAATCCATCAGTACATTATGAGTACTCGGCCAAGCCACCCCGAAAACACACGCAGGTGCCAAAGTGTTCCCAGTCCCATACAATCCAACCGACAGATCGACCCTAAAATACAGCTCAGCGCACATCAAAACGTACCAACAAAGCGGAGCCTTCGTACTGCTCACACCTGCCGCAAAAGCAAAAGCTTCTGGTTTTCACGGGTTGGGGGTGTTGCAAAGGTGGATCTGAGGTTCCAATCACGTGCAAGCTTGGACGCAAACGGAAAGGCTCTTCTTGGCAGGCTGCTGTGCGATCAAAGCCATCTTGATCAACAGCAAGGAGCAGCTTGCCAGCAGCATGGCTGCCATTGCTGAGCAAACCTGTGGCAAAGGCCCGGAAAACCATGACTGTGCGGAGGCTTGACTTTTGACGTTTTAACATGTCTGGCTTTACACCATATATTATGAAAATATCCAATGTCCAACATTATCCGAGCAGCCAAGCATTATGTGCTCTGTTCCGAGAAGACGCCTTCCAGAAGCTGGAAGCCAGCTCAGCATTCCTGGACAGCACATTTCATGCGAAACATCCCCCAAAAACTTTCTTAAATAGGCTCACTGGTGCCTGAAGAAGTCAGCCTGAATGTCAAGGTTGAAAACGCTCAACGCCGCTCTGTGTTGTGTGTCATTGCAAAGCGGTTGATCGCATAGCAGGGCGCTCCAACTGAAATCTCCATGTGCCAACTCCATCTGGAACGGGTAAACAATCAAACTGTGGCCTTCTGGCAAAGAAGGCAAAGCGGCGTGCCGCGCTGTCCGCAAACCAGTCACCTGTTCGCTACCAACATAACCAAAAACTCATGGCAAAGCACAAGCACTGGTCCTATCCCTTCCTTGCTGACATTGCTGATGTCTTCTGCGATCCACAAACACCAGAGGAAAAAGACACAACCCGCAGAAACAACGTTATCATATACCCATACACACACGACCGTTGATTTGAAACATGCAGTGCTGCAGCTGGCGACGCGCAGCTTAATGCTCCGGAAATTCTAAGTCCCACCGTGGTGCTTTGTTGCCCCACATCGAATCATCCCTGGCCTGAAGCACGTCGCAAGTAGAACAGACTTTCCGCATCCAAGGGCGGGCGCAGCACGTCAGAGGCCGAAGGCGACGTCTCTGAAGGAGCTGACCTCAAAAAAGGGGAGAAGTCAAACATACCCGTGGTATTTGGATGGATGCCTGAGATGTTATAAGTGAATCTGCTGTTGACCACTTGAAACCTTGGGGGAATCCCAATCCCCATCCGCATCAAATTGTCAGCTAAGCAAACATCTTGGTCAATAATTTCGACTTGGATGCAAAAGCTCGCCTACTCTCTTGCCATCCTCCCTGGCAATTCCCTCAATCCAATTTGGTTATCTCACAAATACTCAACATGTCAGTTCTTGGTCGGCCATCATAGCTGCACCGGCTTGCTGGTTGACCAGATTGCCACTGCCTCTAGACAAAAAAAAACTTAGAGAGGTTTGGACCATCATCAAATTCTACGTCCAACAACCTTTAAGTTCCAAATTGCGCATCAGACCCTAGCCCTTTTGCTTCTGCAAATGGTCCAGCCACAAGAGAATGTGCTTTCCAGTCTTCTCTGTCCTTTTGAAAACCCCGTCCTCTTGGGTGCATTCAGGTGACATCCTCAGATTAGTAACCCTCGAAGTCATGGTTTGAAGGGTGTCCCCACCCCATCTGCTTTCGTCAAAATGCCTTGCCACATTATTCCGGCCCAGTATATGGCTGTGGCTCAAAGCCCTGTACCCCTGGTGAACATCAAAGCGGGTGGTACATGGGTGTTCATCCGCGCCAAAATGGAGCCATAGGTTATGATCCATGGCCATAATTATCTTGATACGCATTTTGTGGCAAAGACCCTCTGCAGGCCCGGACCTCCGAGATCCGAGATCCGAGGCGCGGCCGAAGCCTCTCCAGCGCCTGGTTGAGGCTCTCCGCGGTGACGCCCACGGCTTCCAAGGCGCGGCAAGCGCTGGAAGAAGCCGTGGAGGCCATCGCCACCAGCAAGTGATCCGTGCCCACCTTGCCAATTTTTCACCCGAGAGTTCCACATGTTACCAACATGGATCAGGTTCAAATAGAGGCCTTGTTGTAAACCCTGAGATTTTTAATATCATCTGTTTGAGTAAAGTGCAATGATGTTCGGTACCCCAGCGCTTCCAATTGTGACGATAGGCATCAACCATTGAACATGTGAAGCGATACTACAGTGATGGTTTCCCCCCTGTCCCAGGCACTCCCGAGGCGCCGGCGCCAGGTGAAAGGTGGCCCCGGGAGTGGGCCAGGTGGAACGCGCGGTCCACGCCTTGACCAAGAACACGCAAGCTTTATAACAGCCAGTTTGACATGACACTCTGCTAAGTTGAACAAAACAAGACTTAGGATCCGAATGTGTTCCCAATGCCTCAAGTTCGCCAGCCCTGGAAGCTTGCCACTTTGAGCAACTCTTGGCAACAGCGTCATCGAGCAACATCCACGTCCATTCCGAGAGACGATAAACGAGCAGGTGGTCACGCCAATAATCTTGAACAATTCAATGTAATTATGTAGGTCAACTTGCTGGCGCAGTCCAGCTCATGCACCATAGTTTGCAAACCTGTGGGATGACGGGATGTTGCATGACTCTTGTTGATGTACGTCATCCCCTCTACAACGATAAGCAGGAGATGATGAATGTCGAGCTTTGCTATACAGCGCTCATCTGTGTGCAAACTTTTATGAACATGGAGCGCATTTAACGTGTGGCAAGGAGGGATCCTGTCACATAGGTTGTACCGAGGACCCTTGCTATGTAGCTGCGTAACGGAAGGGCTAGGCTTGCCTGCAAAGCCAGCTGCGGGGATGTGGCGAGCAAGAAAGGCTTTATTTAAGCAAGCAATAAGTTGTCGCTCGTTGCTATTATTTGAGTCGTGAATCGGCACCATCGCAGCTTGTGCCACAATTGTTGTGACTTGCAAAAAGCGGAACACAATGTGGGCATAGAGAAGAGCAAAACTGCAATTTACTGCTTGAAAATTTGCTGGCGGGCCCTCGCAGTGGCTGTACTGGTAACGCGGAGTGTCCAAAAGCTGTGCAAATATGAAAACTTTGGCTAGCTGCATCTATACTCAGATAATGAAACACTGATTCTAGGGCAGCATGTGTGAGAGGAATGGAGCACGCAAACCATCTGCATATGCAAAGGTGTGCTGCACCAACTTAAATATGGGGTTGGCGCAGATCTGCTGTGGATTTGTCGCCAAGCCTTCAAACAGCAAACGCCACTCAAGTGCCAAGGCGCTTTCCCTCACTGCCGGGCTGAAAGTCTCCACCTTTGCGCGGCGCAGAACGGCGCCCCGCGGTGCATCGCTCCGCGTGCGCGACGCTGCTAGCGCCAGCGCAAGCGGTGCTGCCAGCGCAGCCCGCGTCGAAAAGGGTCGCCGAGCAGTGCTTTGGCCCGCGGCGACGGTCCTGGGTGGCAAAATTGGTAACCAGCACCCCTGGAATGGGCAGTGGGTGGCAAAACCCATGCAACCTCTGCACAACCTGAAGGCCCTTGCAAACACGAATTGACAAACCCAACGTGCAGTAACAAAGCAGAACAAACCGATTCATGGTACCTTCCGCTCTCCTGGCTGAAGATGGCGGGCCATGTTGCACGCTCGCAAGGACAGGTGCAATCATGCTGACCAAGAGGTGGGCAGGTGGCTGTGTCCCGTGAATCTTTCTGCTTTGTGCAGACGTCAGGAAGCTGCTTGTAGAGAAAACTCCAAAACGCATGGGAGTTCATACAACAACTTGTACCACACGAGTCCAAAAACATGAGGCCACATCCCCCCCCGCCCTGTTTGGTTGGTTAACTGGGACTTTCAAATGCCCAAGCATGGCGGCCATTGAAGAGTTCCGCGAAAGCTCAAGTAGCGAAGTATCACGTAAGATTCGGTAGAATACAAACTCAAGCCTCACAGCTGAGCCAAGAATTCGGGGCGTGGAGCAAGTGACAGAGATACCCTTGGTGCAATTCCTAAGGCCTCTCTCATGAAACCAGTAACGGACAGACCAACTTGTGAGAACTCCCGATGCACCGGCCTATTATATCAGAAATTGCCCAGTGCGCATGCATGGCAAGCTACCCTTGCTTGCCCTTTTTGTCTCCTACACTTCCTTCAAGTCTAAGTCCGGGTGTTGGCCCCTGCGGCTGGAAGTCAACCCACAGCACAGATTTACCAGGCGCTTGCAGGGGGGGAAGCACCGAAAATCGGAAGTCCCAGAACTGGCTCTGGTTGGAGGTGCTGTAGCAATCGCCTGCGCTGGCGTCCATTTGACACGTACTTGGGCCGAACAACGTGCAAATTGCGTGCAGCTCGCTGTTTACCAAACCATAGTGACATCTGGGAGCACCTGTGTGTGAGCATCGCTTCGCAATCAACCCGGGCATGCTGAAGATGTGCACTTGCAGTTGCACTCATGCATTGGCACTGGTTCCGTTGCTAGCTGATGTAAGTTGCAGTTGTGCCAATTGTTGGCAGATATCTTAGCAAAATCCAGGTGCTCAGTTCGAGGTTTCCATCACCATGCTGAATTGTGTCAATTGATGTCAATTGTAACATGCTTCAATCCGATGAGCGAAGGAACGACAAATCGCTCGGAAAGTGTTTGAGCCTTTGTTGTTTACTGCCGAAAATTTGTGCGCTTCTCCCGATCAATGAATATTCATCGGGAAACAAACAAATCAAATGAGAGTCATAATCAAAACCAGGTATTAAAATGGTCTACCCAGAACCATGTAAAGAATTGAGAAGGCGGCCGCAGCTACTCGAATTTTGGACGTGGCAACCTCAAAAGACCGAAAAGAAAAGGCCCCTGGAATAATGTCAAACTGGGGACCTGAAGTACTGCCCCCTTTGCTGGTTTGATTGTGGACTGCTTTTAAACAAGACACATGTAAGAAAATATGGCTTTGGGAAAGCTGGCAACTTTGGGCCCATCCAAAAGTTTCCCCCTCTCCAACTTGAAAGCGACAACTGTCACTGCCCTACAATAAATCGACCTGAAGAACAAAGCAACAGCCCATACCTTTGCATGAGTGCCTCCTGGAACTTAAGTTGTCACCTTCCCCTGATTTCAATCTGGATTCGTGGGCGGATATTCCATCAGTGAACGGCTCGGGAACGGGCAAAGGATCTCGCCTGCTCGCAGCGAGGATCCCAGAGCACCGCCTCGCCTGAGATACGCTTGTCCGATCGGGCATGGGCAACAGAAATAATAGATGACATGAGCAATGTAGTTGTGACTCCCGGGAAGAGATAGAAGTGGTAGACGACAAGCGTATATGTGACATCTTGCAAATAGTGGCTTTCTTCAACGTGGGCATGGACTGCGGCTCATGTTGAATCCAACACACACTTCCCTGCCAGCTTTCATTTATATTATAGAAAGTGGCATCACAAGCGATTAGAACCCAGTATCTTCGGTGATGCCCTTCATCTGTGTCTGCTGCAAAGTTGCCGGTCCTCTGCAAAGCCCTAATATTGTAGACTGGATGCAGATCGCACACGATACCCCCCACCCTTTTGGGTCTCATGACCATCTTCCCCCCCCCCCCAACCTGTTTGCAGCTACCAAACTCCTTGGAATGGTTCTGGCCTGGAACTCTCCGTGCAGTTCGTGAGAGACAAGGCCCGGACCCATGCAGATACAGGTTGTCGATGCCAGGGGGCGCCTCGGCACATTATCTCTATTTCGGGCTCTTTCGGCTTGAGTGGCCGTTAGACATCGAGGGATCTGGATCTGAAAGACTCCTTGCGAGAGATCCTGCCAGGCTCCTGACACTCTCAGGGCGGCAGAAGTCTTCACTCCTGGGATGAGGCAACAACTCTCGGATTGCAACACATGCGGGTTCATCTGAGGGGCAGTTGTGAAGCAAATAATCTTGGGCTGCGAACTAATTCAATCGAACGCCTGATGCCTCCCTTGCGAAACTGCTCGCAACTCAACTGGCGCGCGCCCACCTGCCATGATGCTTTCGTTGCGCATGGGAGAGCGTATCCTTGGCATGCAAGTCTGGTCCAAGCACTGAACAATTGGTATGTTCTTCTCCAGTGGTCTTCAGATTAATGACCACCAGGTCCAAGCATAGGGTTTGGTCAAGCAGTGAACAACCTGCAGGGTATGAACAGTATGGACAACTATGGCACGCAATTGGCACCTCCACATAGCTACAAAGCCCGCTCCTCACTTTTTCCCAAAGCTGTCATGACCAGTTAAGATCGTCAAGAGTTGTTTCCCAACATCTTCACAGCATCGAAGGCTCATGGCTATGAAGCACAACACGCCGGAGTTCTTGCATATCCCAAGCTGACAGTCCGAGTGGGTCACACAACATCCAACATGTACACTTGTAGTTTTGTCCTTGGTATGGTATATTCTCAACACGCATGGGTGCCCACATCTGACACACGCCCAGTCTGCAAGTTTGCCCGATCTCCCTGGCAAGCGGCCATTCTTGCTCCGATCTCTTTGAGCGTATTCGTCTTGCCCATACTGTAGAACTCAGGCCGGTCATGGGCAAAGCAAATGCCGTCAATCGCGTTCACTTGGACGCAGCTGCCTCTGATTTGCCCAAACAATAGTTTAGAGAGAGCATGTATCGGGATCCTGGAGCGTCGGCACTAACATTGGCATCCTTCCTCAAAACAACCCCAAGCCAAAACTGCTGGCACGTCAACGGAAGCCGAGAACTTCAGCGGCACATCAATTTCGGGATTCTGCTACGAAAGGCGCTTGCTGTTTGCGGCTGTATGAAAAGGTATCCAACCGGCAAACATGCTTGTTGTAGAACACAGCGGCCGCCCCTAAGTGTGTGAACTCTCCTGCCGATGAGGTATATTCCCCATTCTACCAAATTGGAACCAAACTGAAACCAGCGAAACCCGTGTATCTTTAACTTTAATGAGCTACAAGGAACCCTATGCCGACGCGACGCTCCCTCAGGCTGACAGTAAAATCTGGTATGACCCTTTCCTTTTGGTGCACCTCCCCACTTCCATGATTGAAACTGGGTATGCCTTGCGCCCCTGAAAAGAATGGTGGGGAAAAATCGGCACCCCTCTTTTAGCTGGTTGAGTTGAAAGGAACAACCAGCCAAAGATGGAACAGCGACTGAGGGTCCCGCCGCCAGCCCCGGCTTGGAGTCATGCATCTCGCCGTGGCTGAAGGTGCGCCAGGACTGGGTGCCGGGCATCGCGTGCACTTGGACTCAACACGTCTGGAACATATGGAGATAAGCCTCTTGGTCCATTGATGGCAGACATGAGCTAATAACATGGACAAACAATCAACACCAAACAAGGCAAACACGCCATTACCAACCACAACTAAAAGGTAATGTGAATTTCCGCCTCATTCTGACCATTCCTAGCAATCAAGAAAGCAATGAACTGGGATTGGACCTACAATTCGGAGGGGCTGCAATTGTGTTTCGTTGATACATTGGTGACTTTTCACAGACCACATTGACACAATCAACGCATAGGGCACGGGGGGCACAGTCAATGCCTCGTTTCCAGGAAGCTTGCAGTTTGCCCACATGCTTGGCCCCACGGAATGGGCTGGAAGTCGTTGGGAGACCGCAAGAAGCCAAAGGACATTCTTCAGCTGACCGGAGCTTCGGGTTTGAAACTTTGCAAGGCACTACTTCAGTCACAACCCTGCTGGAGGGGCAGGTGACTGCCAAAATCAGACGGGGTGCAAAAACATGCAAGCAATGCCGCAGGGCTCAAACATTGTTTTTGATGGAGGTGATGGGAATCAGATTCTCAACGTGTGTCAGAGCTTGTACTAATTGTCACTTTCTCATCCAGTCTCACCCGTTGTAAAACAAATGCACATGCTGGCATGCGATGAATTCACCCATGTGGTGTGTCGTATATTTTGCTTATAACATGTATATCGACCCACCCAAATCGAACCAAAGCCGGAACGAAGCGCTCATGTGCACCAGTTGGACCGTGGCGACAATGCATCTCCATGTATCCCCTCGGCCTACCCTGTCAGCATGCCGCATCTGTGGTCGCGGCGTCCGCATGCAGAGTACCCTTTGTGTAGGCGGGCAAGGCCACTAACGGCTTGGCCTGGCACCAGCTGTTCAAAGGCAACCGAGACGTGCGCTGATTAAAACCTGTTGCATCAAGTTCTGTCAATCTCAAGCCACCAAAATCAGAGACTGCTCGTAAACGGAGTGCGCGTGTGTGAGAATGTCTTTGTCTGCGTGCGCGCGTGTGTGCGGCTATGGGCCTAGTTTCCTTTCCAGTGTCAGCATCTGCAAGTATTGCGCAACGCAAGTGCGTGCCTGAATTAAAACCATGTAGATCTTCCATTCGGAGATGCTCTTGAAGCAAGCATTAGTATCATACATGCTAGCGGCTGAACTCCGGCAATGCCAATTCCCCAGAGTGGCCGGGCAGCCGCCTTCATGCTCGCTGCGAAGTTGCTGTTGATCCTGGCAAACTCACACATGAAACACTCAAAGCAGTCTCTTGAGCTAAGTGAGTGTCATGAACTGATTGTTGACTTCGCCGGGATTGCTGTGCACGAGCCACCAGCTTTCACTTGCTGCTGCAGTTGTCTTCTTGCCGTTTTGGCGGGTTGGTTAGTTGCTCGCTTCTTGTTCGCTGGCTTGCTCTTGTTTGCTTGCTTGCGTGGTTGCTTTTGCGTTTGTTTGCTTGGTTGCTTGGTTGCTTGCTTGGTCGGTTGGTGGTCTGTGCTAGTGTGTGCTTGCGCGATTGTGAGATTATGACTGTTCTGTGTTTGTTGTATGTTTGCTCGCGCCTGGTAAGATTGACTAGCTCACTAGTTTGCTTGTGCGCCTGCTTCTTGTGTAATCGCCTGTGTCTGTGCTTGATTGCTTACTGGTTTGCTTGTTCTTGTGCGACTGTTCTTTTGTCAATTGTGTATTTGTTTGTCTGTTGTTTGCTTGCTTGCTTGTCATTTGGTTGTTTGGTTGTTCAATTGTTTGCATGCTTGATTGTTTGCCGGTTGGATTGCTTATGCGTCTGGTTGGCTATGTCACTTTTGTTATATTGACTACCGTTTGTTTGCTTGCTTGCTTGCTTGCGTGTTTGTGTCCTTGTGTGTTTGCTTGTTTCTTTTGTGCTTGTTTGCGTGTTTTGTTTGTGCCTGCTGGCTTGCTTGCTTGTTTCCTTGCTTGTTTCCTTGCTTGCTTGCTTGCTTGCTTGCTTGGGTGTTTGCGTCTTTGTGTGTTTGCTTGTTTCTTTTGTGCTTGGTTGTGTGTTGGTTTGCTCGCTTGCTCATTTGCTTGTTTGTTTGCTTGCTTGCTTGGGTGTTTGCGTCCTTGTGTGTTTGCTTGTTTCTGTTGTGCTTGTTTGTGTGTTGGTTTGCTCGCTTGCTCAGTTGATTCTTTGTTTGTTTGTTTGTATGTTTGTGTCTTTGTTTGTTTGTGTGTGTCTTTGTGTGTTGCATACTTGTGCTTGCTTATGAATGAAAATACTTCTTAGTTTATTGCGCTGCGTCTTTCTTCTCTACCCTAGTTCTCGTCCCTTCTTTCTTCCCTGCTTTGTTTATGCATGTACTTATTTATGTCTATCTTTTGTCCCTTTATTTCGTTCTTGATTGCTTGCTTGCTTGCTTGCTTGCTTGCTTGCTTGCTTGCCATCTTTCTTTTTTTTCTTAGCTCTGTCTTGCCTTCCTTTACCGCTGCCTTTTCGTTTGTTCGGATTCGGATTGTTTCATTCTTTCTTTGTCGTCGTCCTTTCTTCGTGTCTTTCTTCTTGCGTGCTTTCATTCTTTCTTTCTTACTTCTTTATATTGGCCCTTGCTTGTTTATATCCTGCTATGATATTTCTTTCTTTCTTCAATTACTTTGCTTTATTGTTCGTTCTTCGTTTCTTTATGTATCTTTATTGAGTTCTTTAATTTGTTAATTTCTTGTGTTCTGTGCTTGATTGTTTGATTGTCGGATTGGTTGACTCTTTGATGGTGTCATTCTTTGCTTGATTGCTTGCCTCTTTGCTCGCCTGCTCGCCCGCAGTTATGTACTTGTTTCTGTGTGTGTGTGTGTGCTCGCGTGCTTGCGTGCTGCTTGATTGATTGCTTTTATGCTGGCTTGCTTGCTTGCTTGCGTGCTTGATTGCTTGTTGTCTGGCTTTCTTGCTTGCCTGCTTTGCTTGCCTTGCTTGCCTTGACGACATTGCTTGCCTTGCTGGCCTCGTTTGCCTTGCTTGCCATGCTTGCCTTGCTTGCTCGCCTTGCTTGCTTGCAGTGCGTGTTTGCGTTCTTGCTTGCCGGCGTGCTTGCTTGCTCGCTTGCTTGAATGCTTGCTTGCTTGCTTGCTTGCATGGTCGTCAAGCACCACCGCGTGATGTTCCAGCGCGCACACAAACATTCTAAAACTGCAAAGGCTGAGTGCGGCACACGTTATCGCCCACTGGATGAAGGCTATGATCCTGTGTGTACCTGGTGGGACGAGCCCCTGTCAGCTGGTGGCGCACGTAATTCCGTCTTCACTAGCATGCAGCATGTATCATGACTTACATAGAAGTGCCCCCGAATTCGCGCGGCAAGTGGCTGCCAGTTGTGCTTGCTTCAGCTATGGGTGCCTGCCCATCAGAAGCAAACAAATGCAGGGTCAAAGATCCAGATTGGCTAGCTTTCGTGAGTTCAACAGCAGAAATAATGCTTATGTGTGCCATGCGCGCTAGCACCTGGTACCATCCAATATTATCAGAGCTGAACTCCCGTCGAGATCTGCTTTGCAATGAAAAGCACGAGATGAAGAGCATCAATCACTGTCCACTGCACATGACAGCTCCCTGCAACTGTTCACTCTATGTAAGCGAACACAAGATATATCTAGTCAACCCTCTGAAGCAAACTCGGTGGGCACAATCAAAGCAAAGCCTGTTGTAGCCTGTTCATGTCACAACCGCAACATTGAAATAGATCCTACTGCCAGATTCAGGTGGACACAGGTGGATCACGCAAACAGTCGAAAGAAGGACTGCCAGAATCAATCAAACTCCATCTAATGATTCAATGTCCGGGGGTTGGTGTACCCGACGTCGGAAAATTGGCCATTGGCCAAGGTGCCAAACTAATCAATTGAAAGAAGCAACTAAAGGAACCTGCTGCACTCCTATATTCCACCAGCCAGTGTCAAACAATCTCCCTGACAAGAAACTTCTCACCGCCGCCCCCGCCTACAGGCACCACGACCTGGAAGAGGAGCTTTGGAATATTGGAACTTCATGTACCTCGGGCGCCGAAACTTCCACATGTCTCTGGGTGGAAGTGGTGCGCCTGTCTGGGCTTGGAAAGAGGTACCCATCTGGCATCATCTAACCTACGCCCAGAAGGTGATGCTTCAAACACCTGGTTGACTACCTGACTAATCGGAGGGATTCAAGCGCTGGTCTATGCCTTGGGTGTTTGCCCATTGCGTCCGCTAACCTTGCAGCCGCCTTGTTCGTGGGTGGTAAAAAATAACAATAAAAATAAAATGCTGAGCCTATTCTTGGAGAGCCCTCATCTTAGCAAACCTTAGTTTCGATGTACGATGCACAAACCATCGCATGACTCCGGAGAAAATTGTGTGGGAGCAATGCTTGGCCGGTGCTCTTCTGGCAGGTTCTCTCTTCAGCTTGAATTGGGTTCTCATGTCGCATCTGTCCTTCTGCTCGATCTTTGTTGAGCTCATCAGGCTCAAGGGTTGGAGGTTTTGAGGTTCACCCCGTTTTGAAAACAGAGCCACCTTGATTAATCCTTGTTGCAGTTGTTCAAAACCAACTTGCAACCAACCGGGGCTCTTGGGGGAAGGTCTAGCCACCTTCCTTTGCCCAACGAACAACTCCCAGGCCCCAGGGCTTAGTGTTCCGATGCCCCACGTTGACCACCTGGCGCAGGTCTGCCGCATTCCCGACATGGCCCGACGCCGTTCAATGCAATGGGCAGTTCTTAAACACATCACTCGTGGTGATCGAAACGCAAAGAAGGAGTTCATTCATCTAATCCAATTGAAACTGCCGACAGTAAGGTCTGCGAGGAAGCTACTGGTCATGGCTGCAATTGACTGACACGGCCAGCCGAACCTCGCTGAGATTCTCATTCTGATCTTCCTGCGGGAACTGAAGGAGTGACACACAAACAGCTGTGACGCCAGGGTGCCTTCAATGCGACCGACAATTGTTGCACATCAGCGCGGCAAAACACACTCTACATAAGACGCCAATATGCGGAAGACTGGCAACACGTCATGTCAGTTCCGCTCAACAGTTCGCACGAGTAACACCGCATCTACGCGGATAAAGTGGTCCAATCCTGTGAATACCATGAAACATCCAACCCGAATGGAAACACAACGTGCGTTGGGTAGGGTGGGCCACGGGTGATGTTCCGAAACCTTAATGCCGTTGGTTCCGGTCCTCGGCGTTCTGGGGGCGGGGGGCATGATGGTGTTGGTTAGTGGATCTTTGAATTGAACATGTTTGACAAATGACATCGGCCAACATCGATTCGAGCACAAGAAGTCATGGCACAAGCTATTTATTTTGCTGATATGTTTTGCTAAGGCCATGATCCTTGGCGTTGCTTGCCTGAGCCAGTAAGCTTTCAAAGCAAACTGAAGGCCACCGGCCTGCGTCAGCTGCCGGCCCGAATGCATGGACTCACCTCGGTCGGTGATTGAAAGGTAAATAGCAAAACTTGGAAAGCCGCAAGTGAACATACAGTCCTACTTACCGTAGCATGCCGAGCCCACACGGATGCAGCTGCGTCTTGGTACAAACGGCGCTCCCGCGCGATGTTAACGAGGCGCTTCATTGCTCTTGCTCTTTGTTGCTTCCACACCGTGACAACATCCTATTTGAGTTGCCGCCTGTTGGCTGGCAGCGTGAGGCAATGGCAAATGCCCCGCGCTGGCTGATTCACAGTTCTCTTGCTCAGCTGACACATGTGTTAGTCACGGCTCATGCTGGAGAAGCCCGATTGAAAGGCTGGCGAAGAGCGGAAAACAACCCATGCCAACACGAACAGCTTCGCTGGGCCCGCAGCTGGTCGATGCGAAAAAGAGCTTCTGCAAGTTACCTGCCAAATCAACGCAGCGCGCATGCACCGTGCAAACCGCAAGCCGCGCCTGTCGATCCAACTTGGAGCCCGTGGAGCTCGCGCGTGCACTAACAAGGCAAAAATCCCATTTTGTATAGCCCACACCTCACAAAGCTGCTGGGATCTCGAAACCTCTAGCCCTAAAAACCCCCAAAGCCGTAGCAGCACCCTCCAAAGGCTTTGTTTGGCCATCTCCAACCCCTTAGGATGCTTTTGGACAGTGGGATTACAAACATGGGAAGCCGCTGGGGCGCTCCGTTCGAGCGCCGTTGCTCCCGCCTGAAGACTGCGATCGTAGCGCCCCTGAGCTCGGGAAAATCCCAGTCCTCGGCTCAAGGAAAGGCGCGCAGATCCGAGGTCTCACACAAAAATCAGACTGGCCCATGATTTTTTCAAAGTCACCCCTGCGGATTCACCAGTTGGTGTCTGACTTTGATACTTGCAAACACCGTCATAGCAATGACCCCGGTCCTACAGGACTCCGTAAGGCCGACAACAAAGATCAACAAATGGTGGTAATTATTGCAAACCAAGGGTCGTCACCAAAATATGGTCAACGTACACTTTTTCCTGCTTCGAGCGCTTCTCCCAAAACCGGGCTGCCCGGACATCCAAGAATATCTGAAAGGATTGAACAGAAATTAAAGTGCAAACAAACGCAAATATCCGCAAACGAGTGCACATAAAAAAAAGTTGCCCGCCTTCCTGGAAGAAGGGGATTTCATCGAGCGCTTGTTCGGGGGGCGAGCGTTTTTTTGGGGTCGAGCAGAAATCGGTAATTCGAGTGTTCTTTTCTCGCGCCTAAAAAAAAGGGCATGTTGGGTGCTTCAGGATGTCAGGCTGTGGCGCCGCGCTTTCCACCGGACTCACACATCCAGTGAGTACACAAAAGAGACCGACTGGTTCATCCCATATGTTGGGTGCCTGCTAAGAGCTGTAAGTCCGACGGCAATGGACTTCCGTACGGTGATTTCCCTGCAAGCCCGAAAAGGGAAATATGTTCATGGTGCGTCCACGGTGAAACCGGATCTTTGGCAACTTATATGGTGACCCATGGTTGGGTTCCCTGGTTTTTCCCTCAGTTAACCAAAAGGGGTGCCCTCAAAAGACACGACCAATTAGGACTGGGCCTGAAGAGTTCCTTGACTACACTCGGAAGGCCAAGGGCACTGCGAAGTGGTGAGGGGCATGACTCCTGGTGCGGGGAGAGCCAGGTTTGTCTGGAAGGGAAACCCTGGTGGTCTGCTTTTGGTTCCTTTTAAAATCCCAAATGGGTACCCTCAGAAAAGCTCACATCCAGCTCTTGCCGAACATACTCGCGCCTCCCTTTCTTTGTCTTTAGGATGAGCTTGGGACTTGTCAGGCCAACGTGAACGACATGAAGCAAATAGTTGATATCCCGTTTGATTGCTGCACTCAGGACTCATGCATACTCAAGCCTCCTGCATTGCCGATCAACATAATATAACATATCTGTGAACTCTGTATTCTGAGCTGTATTCAAGATTGCCCTTGTAATAGTTGTAAAATGATTCCCCGCCACTAGTACATCTCCGGTTGAATGGCTAACGGGGATCACCTTCTAATGTTGACCTACAATTGATCAGCCCCTTAATTCCACTGTGGCACCCACCAAAACCCCCCTTGTCTTCCTGGCCCACTCTTGGCTAAGACCCGAGACGACGAGAGACGAGAGGACGGAGAGGTTGCCCAGCGGGACCCTCCTAAATGTCTTTTTAGGGTATCAATCACAGGTAAACATCATAGGCTATAACTATAGGCGATAATTATAGGGAATCCCCAACTTTTGAGAGAAGGCCCCTATGAATCCACAAGGTTGATTCATCCAGAATAAATGTTATCCATTTTGCGCCGTTGGGGGAGTTGCTTACGCCCCAAAGTCCTATGCAAGACTGAAGGCGTCCAAGTCGAGCAATTCGATCATTCCATAGGCAGAAAAGCTGAGTGGTCCTTGCAACTTTGCAACATGAGCTTGACATTTGCAGGCTCTGATTCTCATCTTTCTAAGGATTCGATGTTTACTTGTGTCATGGTTCTTTTGTGAGCTGCTTCCTTGGCATGCGATACATGTGCTTGCTAAGGCTGCGGGGACACACACATACAATGCCAACCAAAAGTGCCTGGCTTCAAACCCCGCTGTTCAGGCCACTCTTTCGGGACCACTGTATGGCGTGTGCAGCCGGCTTTTTGATCTCGCCCGCAATTACCCACCTTTCAAAGGGGCAGGCAGGATGTGACTGCCAATGACTCAGTGAACCCGGCAACCCCATGGGCCCAAAGCTGCCAACTTCAGACATCCTTCGCCTCACGGGTTTTGCAAACCTGCACCGGCAAATGGCTGACAGCTTCAGGGTTGGGCAGAATCCGCGGTGTCTCCTTGAGCGCCGAAGTGGCATTCTTAACGACCCTCTCCGGCGCCAGTGAGAAACAAGCCGAATCTATGCACAGGTCACAGGTCTGTAGCCGCCTTGGGGCAACAAGCTGCGACTGAACTGCAAGCCAAGAGCCGCTTCCGCTGCATGCCGCAAGCGAGCCGAATCAGAAACTATCAAAGCCAATTCAGTGTTATTCTGCTGACTCTTAGAGGGTGGGGGTTGTCCTCTGCTGCCCTAAACATCGGGATATGCATGTTGTCTGCTTGCCTGTTCCCGTCAAAAAGCAAAGCACCACTTTCATGGGCCATGAGCTACTTGCACTTTGACAGCCATGGACGCCAGCAGGGTCAACATTGAAAGCAGCCTGGACCGAGCGCCAAACCCAGGGCTCAAAGAACGAAGGGGTAAAGTTCGAAGTGCTTCCTGCCGATGCTCTCCAACGCCCAATGCTCTTGATGCTTGCGCTTGTGCTGCGGCCTTAATATTGGATCGCAAAGCCCTCCCGTGCTTCCCTTCCGTTTATAATCTGAACAAGCTGTGACAGATTGCGCTTGCCTGATTTACTCGTTCAAGTTGCGGAGAAGCCCATCCTTTGCCAATTAGCACGTCCTTGCAAAGCCTACAGTGCAACAACGCCAGTGCACCGTAAAGCTCTAGTTGCCGTCCTTTGACTTGCCTTGAATCAAATGCAAGCTTGTCCAGTCCAAACCAGGTGGCTTCCAGTTCTAAAGTGCTCTCATGTATTCTTATAACATGCCCTGTGACTTTTGAGCACGTCATTTGGACATGCTCCATGAAGAGCAGGAGGAACACCTGTTTTAACCTTGTTAGCTGTGGCAACAACAGACAGCACCTCAGGGCATTCCGACTGTGAAAGAAAGCTTGTGGTTGCTTCATAGATCGTCACGTCAAACCCTTTGTGAAATCTGCCATTCCATTGCCGTTCTCATTTCCCGCACGACTTTGACAGGCGATATACCCTCCCCGTGACTGAGACCGCATCTCCTCTGGAACATCGTCGCGGCCTCGATGGAACCACAACCGCGATGGTTCGTGAACACTTGCTGTGCAAATGAATCAAAGCAAGCCACACGTTCGGCGCAGGCAGGGAATCTTCAATCCTGTCCTGTCGCTCTCCGTGTGGAACCACAGACGCTAAAGGGGTGGGAGAAGACAATTGCTCCCCTGACTCGCCCGCACCGTAACTGCCAAGCGCATCCAGGGCACAGAACTTCCGTTGTCGCGCAGGACTTCGCCAGTGTGCACCTGAATCGGGCTGAACATATCGATTGCACAATGTGTCAGGTAGTGTCAAGTCCTGGACACATGAAACCATATCAAGAAAGCTATCCAACAACATGTGCAAACCAATCCGCGGTCTAGGCATGTTATCGGGCTGCCTTCGTGTTGCAAAGTCCGTCTGACTCCTTCAGGTCGTGGCCAGCGACAGGCCGGTCGCTCAGGGCAGCGCGCAGGCTATGCCCATGGCAAAGGAGACCAGCAGTCTCAAGTCCTCGCAGCTAACATCACGCCCGAAGTAAACATCGGTTCGCTCAAACTTGCTAGGGTCATGCCCTTGGGACGTGTTAAACCAAGTGACATGCACCCTGGAGCTGGCACGATGATCTTCAACTGATTGAACAGTTGATGACAGTCTCTGTTGATGCCGAAGTCTCGAAGGAAACCCAAAGAAAATCAACAGGGAAGGAGTCCCCCATGTGGTTGCATTCCGCTTCTTTGCATCAGCCCCTTGCGGATTTCATTGAGCGGTGATCTAAACCTGGGTTCCACGATGTTGACGTTGTATTCCATATCTGCCTTCGCGAACCCTTTCGTCAGCCTTGCGCACTCCACAGTTTTCCTTTCGCGGAGCACACTGGGCCAAGAAACCCTTTTGCGGAGCTTTCGTGGACGGCTCAGCAAGCAACCCAGTGTTCAAAATCGGCCTTTCGCGGCCCCGTTCGCGAACATGATTCCTCGCGTCCCTTTCGCTTTCCTTTCGCAACTTGCAAGACAACACCTTTACTAACTTCTTTCATCGGGGTTTTGAACGCTGCTGAATTTAGCTATGAGCGGTCGACCTTCGGAAGGGCCGAGGCATGCATCCCTGCAATAGCTGCAATAGCACTCATCCCGACTCTGAAAGCATGACAGCCTTGCTTGGATTGCCGTACAAAATCAAAGATGGGATGTCTCTTCCAATGTGCGGCTGGCCTGACTTCTTCTCCATGAGATGTCCCAAAACAAGTTGCCTGTGCAAACCAGCAATCGGACACTGGACTCACTAAACGCATTCAAGAAGCTGCCCTGGGAAAATTGGCACTGCGAGTCTCGAGTATCACTCTCTCAAGCCTCAGGAGATTCCCACGCAATCGGCTGGGACCCCTGGGCACTTTGACACAAATCTAGCAAAACATGCGACATTTGCCTCTCCAAAATGCCCCAGGAAAATCCGGAAGCAAATGAATCGGACTGAAGCCCAACATAAAATTATGCTTCGTTCAATGCTTCCAAAGAGAATCATACATGTTGAACCTGTGGCTCTCCGGACACCCTCACCTTTGTACTCTTTCTCTGAGAAGGTCAGACCTCTACACATCAACTGACAAAGGGCTCTGGGGCTCTGATCGCAACAAGTCTTGCGATAAAAGCTGATACATGCTTCCAATAGCAATGGCTAGCAAAAGGAATTGACAATGACGAATCAGCTGGGCGAATGACCTTTTTTTTCCTCTTGTCCGTGCTGTTCACCTGAAAACTCCATCAAAATGCTTGGAGTCACATTCAGGAAGGCAGCACCGTTGTCCTGCCAAACGGCACCCTCCAGGTAGGCATCAGCCTGAAATCCAATGCCAACTTGGGCTGCTGAACACCACAACACAAGACGGCAATCAGGAAGCCAACGACAGCTGAGAACATTGCTTAAACAAATCCAGGTTGCCATTTGGTCATGCTTCACGCAGATAATATTGCAATGGACTTAGCTCGGTCGTAACGGGTGGCAATCAGCAGCCAGTACCAGTACCTACCAGTATGACAAGAACCAGCTTCTAAATTTGGAAAACTCAGTATGCCGGGCTTTACCACAACAAAATTCCAAGGACTCACACATGTCTTCCAAAGGGATCAAGCTGCACTTGATGGTCAGCCAGAGCCGATTTAGGCAGAAGTGTGAATATCCAAGTGAATCTCGATGCCCTTATGTTGCCACTCGGAAATCATCAGCGACCCGTAGGAAGACCATCAAACAGCCTCCGGGGCAGTCCTCAAGAGGAAAAAATCCCGCTGTTGTTGCAGCAGTTGGGCCCACAAACAACAAAACGTGATGCAGCTCGCTGCTAAAATAACGTGCATGCATGCGTGGCTTGTTCATGCTGGGCCATTTTACATCAACCAATCACTTCAAAATACCATCAAACATCCATCCACTCAATCAACTGCTGTCAAGCACCAGTCCCAATCGGCCAGTTGAACCCATTCGCTCGATCACTGAGGGATCCCAGCGCAGGGAGGCAGCGCACCTTCCGCCTCAGGCGATTTTATTGCGCCATATCATTCCGCAAAAAGGCACTATGTTGGACTGATGTTGCCACTGCTCGCATGCTGCTACAATCCAAGTGTCGAAGTCTTGGACATACTGGTGACGCATGGCTAGCATTTTGGCCCTGAAAAGGAACATACGAAGTGAAATATCCAATCTTGCACCGTGGAGCTTGGTCACGTGTCACCTGCACGGTTCAGAACGACCCTTTGATATGTGCTCTTAACTGACATGAAGTTTGCACAACAGCAAGAAGCGCAGCAAGAGCAGAACGAGCAGTAGAAACAGTAAAGGCAGCAAACAAGCAACAACAAAAGCAGCAGCAGCATTGCAGCATTGCAGCAGCATAGCAGCAAATTGGCTTGCCGAGACAAGCAGCAGCAGGCCTGGGAGGCAAAGGATCAACAGGCTAGCAAATGCAAACTACAAGTACGCTCCATGATCAAAAAACGAGGCGAATGGCGAACGCCCGCAAGAAAACAGCTACAAACACAACTAGGAGGTATCGTTTTAGCATCCTGGCGTGTCCTGATGTGCCGCTACTAGTGTGTGTGTGGGTGGAGTATGCGTGCATGCGTGTCCGCGTGCGTGCATGCGTGCATGCGTGAGTGAGCGTGCGTGCTGTGTGCTGTGTGCTGTGTGCTGTGTGCTGTGTGCTGTCTGCTGTGTGCTGTGTGTGTGTGTGGGTGTGGGTGTGTGCGTGTGCATGTGCGTATGCGTGTGCCTGTACTTGTGCGTGTGCGTGTGCGTGTGTTCATGTCCGTGTGCGTGTGCGTGCGCGTCTGCGTGTACGTGTGCGTGTGCGTGTGCATGTGCGTGTGCGTGTGCCGTGTGCGTGTGCCGGGTGCGTGTGCATGTGCGTGTGCGTTTGCGTGTGCGTGGGCGTGCGCGTGTGGGTGTGGGTGTGGGTGTGTGTGTGCATGTGTGTGCATGTGTGTGTCTGTGCGTGTGTGCGCGCGGCGTGGTGTAGTGTGGTGCAGTGGGGTTCGGTGCTGTGGGTTGTGTTATGGTGTGTTATGGTGTGTTATGGTGTGTTATGGTGTGTTGTGTGTGTGTGTACGTGTACGTGTACGTGTGTGTGTGTGTGTGTGTGTGTGTGTTTGCGTAGTGGTTGATGTGTGCATGCACAAGCTCGCGCGCTTGAGTCCGCACGTTTGCGTTCTGTACATACTCATACGCGCGCTTAGTCGGGTATATTGTTTTTGTGTCTGCGTACAATCTAAAACCAGAGAACAAGTAAGAACTGCTCCCGTAAAGTACATGTTGGTAAACTTGACGCCAAGACATATCAAGCGTTGCATTGGACATATGCCGAACCAGGGGACTCACGGCAGCGGCCAGCGGTTGCTCGTTTGCTTGGTGTTGTTTGCCGAAAGTTCGGATGGCGACTAGGTGAAGAGATTGACAACTTCAGTTCTTCAATAGGCGTCATGCACTGCTGGAGAAAGCTGAGGTGCAGGCTGCTTGGCACGACCGGGCTTGAAGCCAAAGAAGCCCCTATCACCGCAATGCTTGCTGTCAGGTGTGTGTGTGTCGGTGTGCGTTTCCCTGGCAAGGGAGCAAACTGACCGTATGTGACCTTCTTGTCCCCGTGATTGCAACCAATTGCAACATTATGGGGTGCAAAAGCGAAAAGCTCTTGTGTCAATCGCTCAAAAAGGCAATATGTTGTTTGCACTCTGAAGCGATAAACTTCATCACTGAATGTATGACGATCAAAGCAAAATGCAGTCGGAGGTGCCAGCATGAATATAGAACGTAGCATCTCGAAGGGTTGTCGAGATGGGCCTGGCAAAGCATTCGCGATGAATTACGTTGCAAATGCGCTGCCATTGTGTGTGTGTGTGCGCGCGTGTGTGTGTGTCTAATTGCTTGTGTGTGTGTGTGTGTCTCCGTGAGCAAATGTTTTGGGCTATCGCATTGGATTCTACTTAAACCGAAACGACGTGTTCGTCGTGGCAGCACGTCCTGCAATATGTGAGCAGCACACACTGCACCAACAGCCTTCACACGGTTCCGGCCCTGAGATGGACCGCTACAGACTTTGAAGTCCTTCTCAGATCCCCAAGTCCATGATGTGAGATCCATGGACCCTGCTCTCTCAAGACTCGTGACTTGCGAGTCGCCTCTTCAGCGAGGGCGAACGCCCCCAGCTTCCCCCGGGAAGCTTGAGCCGAAAACCACGCCAGCAATATGGCCCGCCTTAGACCACACGGGCTTGTGCTCGAACATACTGATGCGCTGGTCTTGAACTATGGGGCTCCTCTGCGCAACACTGCATCTTGAAATGCCCGGCGTTCAACTGACCAGGACCCAGCTCCTTAGACCTCACAGCGTTCTCATTTTTTGTCTCACGGGTGCGCTCGGGCGGGAAGCGGCATGTGCGCAGAGTCCTTCTGAACAAACGTTTGAACGTTCTTGGGGGGACCGAATGCTACTGGCCGCTCGCGAAGGGCTGGTTGCCAAGTGCAGCACCTCCTGCGCCAGGTGGGACTTCATTGGCTCGCGGCTCCAAGTGGCCGGCGCATTGCGCCAGCGGCTAGTCCAGATTCGTCGGCGCTGGCCGGATGTGTGGAGCTGACGGTTTTGACAAGGACAGCCTGGTCACGTAGGACGGCTCAGCGACTTGTGGGCCGCAAGTTCCTTCGAATGGGCCAGGGACGCCCACAGCTGCTCACAGTCTTTGGCCAAGATCTGGGCAAGCTGCTCTTCCTCGAAATGCCCTTGCTCATGTTCCTGGGCCAATCGCTGTTCTGCAGCGAGCTCTTTCCTTGGCAACTCGCAAGGGCGCTGACGGCTACGAGTACCAGCTGAGTGGACGAAACAAAATACAACCTACTTTTGACTCTCAGCTTTCTCCTGGCTCGTCAATAAAACAAATTGCACATTGGTGCGTGCTCTTGGCAAGATTGGAGGGTGTCCTTTTCAGACTGGTTTAAAGCAAAGAGCCACAAGCACAATACCCTTTTTTGGGTTCCCATGAAATGATGGTGTGATGTAAGCAGCCAAGATTCTTCAAGCAGGACACCTCCGAACGGCAGATCCGACTAGTGGCCCTTCCTTCTTCCAGGGCTTCCTCCAAGGCGTGGTGCGCTTGCTCCGCGTGCAGCTCCTCCGGGGAATCCCCCCAACCGCGCAAGGATTGAATTTCGTTTGTGTTGCCCTCCCGTGCGTGATTTCCGCTGTGCCTTCCGAACATGTCGGGATCTTGATTGGGTCGAGGTCCACCCCTCCACTACCTCTCAGCGCTGGGGATAAAGGGAAGGCATCACAGCTTTGCCTGGGAATCTGGGCAAATGTTGTTTATTGTGTTTTCATGGCAGCTAGAAGAGCCTCTTGGTGCTTCAACGGGGAAGACACCAGAAACAGAACCCGATGCCAGGAAAACTTCGGCCGCAGGGATACAGCTGGGCAACATGAAAGCTGTAAATAGTCCGGGTCCTGATTGCCACTGGCAAAAGATGCGGACAGTTTGGCAGTCTTGGCCTTCAGGTCCGCGATTTCCGCCGCCATTTCTCGGTCATTCTCACGGCAGCGCTCGGCCGCGCGCCGCGCGAAGTCCGCAGATCTCAACCACATCTGCTGCGACTCCTCCTGACCAGTGCCACACTCTATGGGTCAATCCGAAAAAGGCGAGGGAATCTCAAATTGGTTGCTTTCATTTGGCTTCTCTTTTACAAAAACCATTCAAGAAGCCTTAAACCCCACTGAATGCATTCCTTTGGCATGCATGACTCCTTTTACCAACCAGGCGAAACCATGGAACGTATAAGGAAAGGACATTGCATGGATTTGGAGCCCCTTGAACAAATTTGGGGTAGGAGTCAATTTCCGGAGTCAACTTTGTGGATGTCCGACTTCTGACCCCTCTTGCCATTAGCTGCGTTGTGGCTTTTGCCACCGTGCTGGGCGGGCTTTCTGCCTATACGCTCGCTAATCCTTTCCACTATTACGCGCCATAGACACCTCATCCACTTTAGTACCGTGTAGCGAATTCACTGGCAGGAACAAAAATCCGGGCATGCGAAATGCTAGTCAAGCGAACCAAACATGTTCAGGGTATACCTCAGCCAGGGTCCAAAAAAAGTGTTTGGAGCATTTACAATATTTTCAGAAGCCGTTGTTCTGTCTGGAATTAGCGACACGCTCGGTGCCATGTCAATTCAACGAACCTGCCAACGGATTCTGCACATAAATCAATTTGCCACTATGTTTGAAGGAAACTTCGGGCGCATGGAAAGCATCCGACTCTTCAAGCCAACACCGGCCATGTTTGATTGATGCAGCCTCAAAAAGAGCTCCTGTCTGGCAGGCCTGTGAACATGTGTGCAGTGGAGCGGGTGCACAAGAGCGGCTTAACATTTGGCAGGCCACGCTGAGCGATTGCACTTGAACGCGTAAGCTTACCACGTCACTTGGCAGGTATGTGCAGTGCGAAGCGGGTGCGCGTGAGCGAGTGTGCTTGGCGCAAGACGCGTTCGGCCGCCAAGTGGCTACGGCTTGGTATTATGCCTTGTTTCAGGTTCAAAATTCCCAAATATGAAACTAAACCGGGCACAACTATTTCCCGCTGACCCCCAACTTCAGTCGTGTCGGAAGGCTCTCCGACTGCTCACCAAAACAATCTGAATTAAGTTGCAAGAATTCAAATGTCAAATTGTGCTTTGACATTTGCCTTCTAACTTTGAATTGGTAAATCCAAAGCAAGTGCCTCGAACGATTGTTGTTTGTGCCCGGCAAAGAGGGAGACTGCATTGAAAAAGCTTCAAGCGAGGTTTGGAACAAAAGATATAATCTACGACATGTGTGGCCGCCCCATATGAAGCATGATTTTCACTTCTATGTCCACTTCACGCTAGACACGAAACCTTGTCTGCTTCATCACCAGCAAATCATGTACCTTCCCATGATTCCTCGCAAGCACACACACAGTCGGATCGAACACAGGCAGCTGACAGGCAAACTTCAGGACCCCGATCTTCTGCGAGCTTTCTGTCGGCCTCCCCTGCAGCGGGTCCCGTGGCGCGCCTCCTGGCGCCGGCGCATGGACTTCAGTTTCAGCTGGCAGGACTCCAACTGCTGGCTCTTCTCCTGCGCCTTGGCCTTCGCTCCAGCCGCTAGACAAACACTGGGGCAACACAAACATATTGGGTCTAGAATCATAGGTGTGTTTTTTTGGAAAATGGATGGCCCTGGTAGATGATTGAACCACCAGGTAAACCAGGGCCCTCTCTTTTCCAACCAAACCAAAAGGACGTTTATGTGTCCTTGTCCTTGATTCGAGAGTTGTTTAGTTCCGACATGTGTCCGCTCTGGCAGGCCAAGTTTGGAGGATACCCGAAGTTATATGCGAGGTTTGAGGAGGGCTGTTTGGGAGGGCTAGCAGATAAATGCATTAACAATCATATTACATAGCATGAAACGTTCACAATATACACATACAGGTTCTTTCAGTTTTCCTCTTTTTGCATGCATCATGCACATGTACATGTATGTATAATACTTGTGTAAATACATGTTTCTTGTGTAAATACAATACTTGTGTGTATACCGTGCACTATCGTGCACTCTTTATCGATCTAACTCATGGATTTTCGTTTCGGGTCGCCCTCTCCGTGTCGCCTCCAAGTCCTCCGCGTGGCGCCGCGCCGCCGTCAGCTCCGCCGCGGCTCGGCCCGTGCGCCGCTGCAGCGCCTCCGCGAGCTCCGCCACGCCGTGGGCCACCCAGGCCACCCGCGCGTTGCGCGCGGAGGCGAAAGCCGAGGGGCGGGAGGGCCTGGGGCGGGGTGGGAGGGAGGGGTTGGGAGGGAGGGGTTGGGACTGGGCGGCTTTGGGGTTGAAGGAGGGAGGGCTTGGCTGGAATAAGAGAACGAATCCTGCCAATATATTTCCATAGAAATAATTGCTACTCATGAAAGGAACAACTGCTATTTTATCATTATTAGAAGATAGAACATGTAGATTAAACGTATGATGAAGAAGAACACCACAAAGAAGAACTGCAAATAGACAATTCAAGACACAGAACCTCTCTACTGTTGGATTGTAAACAGAATGTCCTCCACAAAGCCATTCTATTCAACATGGAATGGGAGACCATAAAGTTGTAATTTCTGCAACTCCCAATAAACTCATTTGTCCACTCGGTAAAACATAACCCATAAATGCTGTTTCCTTTGAGGGGTTGAAGGAAGAAGGGGTTGGGTTGGAGGGAAGGGACTGTAGGAGGTTGGAGGGAGGTCGGTTTAAAGGGAAAAAGGAAACCAGTTCAAGGGAAGGGGTTGGCTCTGGGGAAAAAGGATACAAAGAAGTTGGCCACATTTCTGGAGCTCATGTTTTCGCCATTTGGTTGTCTCTCTGTGGGATTGCACCTTTTTTGAGGCTGTTTGAAAGAAACACCAAATGGAAACTGAAACCTATGCCGTGTTTGTTGTCTGTGAAATTATTGAACCTGCCTTGCGTTGGCCACCGCGAGCTCCTGCTGCCTTTCCTGCCAGGCACAATACGTTTCAAACACGTTGCACATATATGAATAGACGTACAATATAAATAGTTACATGTGTAACACACATGTAACAAACATCATAGAAGCTGTAAGTCTGAGTAAATGATACTTGTGCGCGTACAAAATTCGCTTGGAGCTCTACAACACCCTGGCCAATATGTATATATGTATATATATAATATATATATATATATATGTATATAACATTCGAACAATAAACATAATAGAATTGCCTAGTTGCATGGCAGCTCAGGGAATAAGACGTCTGTCTCCTTTCGCTACCTACTGTTTGCAAGCACCGGCATACACGTTTACAACTACATTCATCAACTCCCCCTTCCTCTCAGAAATCAGTGTGATTCAGCCGTCACTGGCACCCCTGCCTGCTTCAGATGTTGCAGCCTCCGCAGCGCCTGCTGCTCTGACTCTGCAGCGTGGGCAGGTAAGTGCGCCCCATGCGCCTGGCAGCCATCGTGGCTGAGGAGGTGTGTGTGTGTGCTGTAGCCCTTGTGTTTGCATGCTGTTGACGTCTTGGCTGTGGCTGCTGTCGTTGTCGCTGTGGTGGTGGTTGTTGCCGCGGTTGCTGTCCTTGATGGGTCCAAATGAATATTTTGTACCCTGGTTTGCCCTGTTGAACAAAACATGAACACCCCTTCCCCCCCTGTCGCAGGAAAGAATAAGTTCTGGTGATGTCCCAAACAGTATGAGGCGCACTTTTGCCCTGAACCCTGCTCGGACCCGCTGCCCGGAATGTTGCGCCGAACCGCCCGGTGCAGCCCCGGAACTCTTCTCGGATTTTTGTTGGAACCGTTTCGCCGCAACTTCACTTTCTAACTTTGTCAGTTCGGTCCACAAGGGCACCCAGCTAGGTCGGGTTCACTACGTCAGTGGTCTTATCAATCGCCGACCCGCTTTGATCTCCGCCTCCAGCTCAGCTGCGCGCTGCTGCAGGCCCTGAACCTCCATGCGGCCTTCCTGGAGCAAACGACTTCCGGCGTTTAAACGCACTCAGAACCGAGCGCACCAAATTTGGCCAGCACATTGCGTAGGCAGAATCGACAACACCTTGCCTAGGCGGAATAGACAGCAACCAGGAGCGCGCTGAAAGACGAGGCGGCATTCGAAGATTGACGTGACTCATAAAAAAACAAGCAGGAGTGGATGTCTCTATCACCCAACAACTCCTGACTCTTGATCTATTGCCTCCCCCAAGCTTGCGAGATTGGTCCTGGCAAAGATCTCGGCATCTTTCCATCTTTGCTTCGTCCTCCCGCAGCACGTCGCCCCTCGAAGCTCTAACTGATAGCCCCAGTGGCCCAAACGACTTTGTGACTGTACGCTGCAAAGCATGGGAACAGCAAACAGGGCAATAATGATGCACCTGGGAGAAGTCAACTTCACGCGCAAAGTTGATCAAGCAGCCGAAACGAAAAAGCGGTTGCTCGCTGCATGGGCATGGCCAAGGCAATAATAATATTTGCACATAGATACCGCTTGCACTAATTTCAAAACGCTCTTTGCAGCTCTGCTCAGAAATAGCTCATTGAAGCAACTGACAATTTTATACTCCGGGCCAAATATCTTCCCTTCCTTCAAGAATCGTGCCTTCCACGAGCAAAAGACAATAAGTTGGTGATCCCCTGTCCCCACTCTCCTTTCTACCTGAAGTCCCGTGACTGACAAGTTATGGAAACTGGGCCAATGAGATGAAAGGCGGAAGTCCTGGGTTCATGCGGTGTCTGAATTTATCCGATACTTGGTTTAGTCCCATCCATCAATACAGCATGCCAAACGTGTCATCTTGAGGTTTTCCCTGGCAGTTGCTGCCGACTTCTTCTTGCAAAGTCAACTTGGATCACCCTATGACACCACAGTGGCAAGTGGGTCAATTATCCCGATCTCCCGCGGCTGTCAATCAGCTCTTTCGATTGCTTCTTCAAGGGTGAGGGGAACTGGTTCGATTGCTTCCCCTGGAAAGAAACCGAGCATTCAAACCCTATCCACCCTGAGCTCAGGCCCGTCGCCTCCTCCATGACTTGGCCCATCTCCAGAAGTCGAGCCTCGCAAGAAGCAACGACGAAAGGGCTCCCCAGCTGTCAAGTGGCGAAGAGAGTCAGGGATTAGGCCCATCCTCCTGAAAAGGCTTATTCCACGAACATCCCCAAACCCTAAAAGCAACTTTGACCGGAACACTCCTACACAAAAGATAGTGAGAGGACTAGTGGTACAATGAAATCAACCAGGGCTGAATGTCCTAAAGTGTTTGTTGTGGAAACCGTACAAACTTTATGCGTTCCCAGGCGTTCACGTCCGTCCGCTCGCCCGGATAAGCAACCTGGGCCTCAACTCAAAGGAAATTCGGAACTTTTCCTTTGGTGCTTCAGCAAGAATGGTGCAGGGTGGGGAGTAGCAACATGCCTTGCTGTAAAATGCCCTGTCCTGGATAAGGCCCTTGAAGGGTTTCTAAAGACCTTTGTACACGTTCGAACCTTTCACTGTGTGCAAATGTGTAGATATCGTATTGACATCATTCTCGATGCCAGATCATGGCTTCAACTTCAATCATGCCTCACTCGCACCTTCAGTTGAATTGCAAACGTTTGATCTGTACAGGGCTTCCCTTTTTGGAACCCTAAGTGGAAACCCACCAAACAATTCTTCAGCTTTACGGGACATCCAGTGACTGCAAGGCCCTGGTACTTTGGCAGGTTCCAAGCCTCAGCCCATCCCCGCCTCCATCCTCATGCAGTCCTCAGTCACAGATCAGTCACGACCCAAATTCATTGCTTCCCCTAAAATGGATTAGAGGGCCGTCAGGTTTCGAATGGTGCTTGATGCTTGTGATGTGCTTGCCATTTAGCTGGTGTGCGCAACTGCATGTCCACGGCAGGTTGAATTTGAAGACAACGCCATGGGTGATGTTGACTCTGTCATGCAGTGCATGCAGAAGAGAAAGGAAGCAAGCATTACTGAGGCAACAGTGGAATGAGGAGTAATGCATCACCACCTTGACAGCGACATAGTCACGAACAGCATTAATTATTGCTCGAACACGTGATGTTGGGTGTGTCTAGACCTTTCTGTAACCCCTGAAGTGAGCGGATTTCCCTTTGTTTGCCTTTGACAACCCCAAAGAGGAGGGTACACAGGACACACCCGCATGTCGGCCGAGACGTTCAACCAGGCCTGCTCCACGTTCTGCAGCTTCTCGGTAAAGCGGCGTGCTGAGGAATTCAACTCCTGGGCCTGTGCAAAGCTTTTCGGCGAAGCGATGCAGCTACCCTATTGTAGATGGACAAAATCCTGCCTGGGATGGATTCCCATGAGTTAGTGGGACAAACTAACTATCAACTGGTATCTTTCTCAAGATGAGATATCTATGTGGCATTCTTCGTGACAGCGATTGACCCTATGATGTCAACGCCTTAAAAGGCCAAGCTACCTACTGTGCAACAGTAAGCAATTTTATGCGGTTGACCCTTGGAGGATCAGGGTTATATACCTTCCGCCCCCCAGAAACTCAACCGGCATCCTTTTGAAATTGAATCGAATCACCAAAACTAGTGGCATCCAGATACTTTCAACCAGCCTGACAGGGGTCACCAGATTTCCCAAAAACAAACACAACTTATTGGCGGGTTCCACCAAAGGGTGTCACTGTTGGAGGTGCCCAAAATCATGACTAACCCCGGGCATCATTTTGGAGCTTGGTGGTGAATGAGAATCGAACGAAACCTGGCGCTTGGAGGCTTCGGATGGCTCAACTTTCCACTCTTTCACCATCAAAGTCACCCAAGAGGTGGTGTTGACTTTCACAACCAGAAGCACCTCTCAGTCATGACCCCCTAAGGTTTCGAGATCGAGAGTGGTATTTCTCAAAATTGTTCTAATAGAGTGGCTTTCTCTTCCTTTCACACCCGCTTGAGCTGCGACCAAACCCCAGTTGACTGTTGGTTCTACATGGTTGTACCAACAAAATTACTTAAACAAAATCGCATATTGGCTTCAAATGACTTTCCCATACTAGGTCCTCCAGTAGAGAGGTGAGAATCACGGTAATTACCCTTTTTCCTGTAGTCCACTTTAGTAGGGGAAGCCTCCCAACCAAAAAAGGGGTGAGAAAGGGCACTGGGGGACCTACTCTCGAAAGCCTTTTTCGCGGCCTCCGCCAGCTCCTGCAGCTCCTCCGCCGAGCGGCGTCGCAGCGCCTCCTGGCGCGGTTCGTGGAGATGGGAAGGTCTTGGAGGGAACCAACCGACAGGTCAAAACAACCAAAACAAGGTGTGATGTCCAATTAGGGCCCCTTTGCTGGTGGACCCTCACTTCAAAACAACAACAAAGAAGGTGTGTGAATTCCAATGATTGGCCCCTTTGGTGGACATCAATGTCTTTTGTTTTGGTGGGGAGTCATGTGCGATGACCACTGCAATTTCTGGCCAATCCGCAGAGGAAGTGGACATGGAACAAACAAGGGGCTCCAATGCGATCCTTTTACAGGGCCCTTTCGGCCACTGGATTTTCCCTTCAACAGTTGGGATGGACCCTGCCGAGGATGATCTCAACCTCTAAACTGGGCCTTCTAAGGGCGACTGGTGGTGTAGGCAGGGTCCGAAGAATATAGAAAACCAAAACCACCTCGACACACACAGTTGGCTTCGGCGCCGGACGGATCGTCATGGAGCTGGTGAAAGCCATTCTTTCTTTTGCACCACAGCGCCCTTGAAACCCAGTTTGGCCCTGAGATGCCATGAATAGGGCTTCCCAGCATACGCCAACCATCGAAGAGCCAACCAGCGTGCAGTTGGTTCGTCGAGGCTTCCGTGTACCGCCTGAATACCCGTAGATGCTGGCAAATGAGCCCTGTGCAACCTGGATTGAGAAATCCAACCCACAAGTGGATTGACGTGCTTCAAGGCAGCCTGTCTTGGGACTTGAGTGGCTTCTTTATTCACATAGCAAACCATGGCAAGATTTTGTTGCCACAGCCAACGACTCACGCCCCTTCCAGCCTGAAGATCCTCCAGCCGCTTACGCGCTGCAGACTCAGCACGCCAGTCGTGGCGGATGGCGGTTCGCGATTGTGATCATTCCGGCAGTTAAGTTGGTGGAATGCTTCTATGAATAACTTCCAAAGAGCAGGCAAGGTATCGTGACACCTTCAGGCATGGGTGATGTAACACCTTCCAAAGCAGCTATTATCCATCTCACATGCTGTGAGCAAGTTACGAACAGAACAACCAAAATGCCAAGGCAAATCACATATTTGGGGCCGAGACTGCATCTGATCGCTGGCTATCCTGAGAACTGAGCGATTGTGAGACCGTGTTGATTTTAAGGCAGGTCATCTGATCAATAGGCGTCTTCCTTCACACTTTGTTTGAAATCATTTGCGAGGAATGATGTCTGGACACAGGACATGTTCGGCTGCCATTCGCAAGGCCTGCATTCATGGCTTCTCTTGGACTTATGATGTTCCAACAGCACAATGCACACAATGACAAACATCAAAGCAGCACGCTGAAGCCCCGGGCGTGTCGAGAGCCCTGCACCTGAAAGCTGCAGCTCTGTAAGCCACATCGATCCTTTGGATCAATTTTCCTTGGGCAGTCTGTATCATCCTGAGTCTTTGGGACAGGGTCAGAGAACCGCATCCCGACTGCCCACAAACAACACTTCCCACGATAAATGGACGGTCTTCATCAACCTGGGATTCAAATGCTTTCTGGCATCAGCATGTGATTGCATGGCGAAGATGCAAGATGCCATCAAATGTTGGAAGAAAAGCAGATGCCTCAGCTCATATGAGTGTGCTTTTGCATTGGGGACCCTTTGGTGGATATGATTTAGGTGCGGATTTCGTGCCCACCAGCCATTCGTAAGCGAATTCCTCAGTCAAGCTCATAGCCTCATAGCATCTGCGAACGACACCCTCGCCTTGAAGGCCTCGCCGAGGTGTGTCAGCTCCTGAGCAATGCATGAGACTGGTCCCTCTTTCGCTTGCCTCAATGCCAAGACCTAAGGTGAACATATCGCGAAACAGTCCGTACCAAGGATCAGAATTCGCACTGCTGACACCTGGATAATGACTTCTCTGTGGAATGGTGGACCTTCTGGTCACAACAACTTTCACACAACTGTCAACAATGAACTCCAGGAGTGAGGCATTTTGGGTTGACATGAGAAGTGGACGTTGCACAAACCCACAGGCCCCATGTTGCTGTTGGTCTTCCAAGCGATGTTGACTCCCAACGTCTTCAGCATCAGAAGCAGCTCTCAAGGGTACGGTCTCAGCATCTAAGTGGCGAAGGCAGCCTTGAGGCTCATGACACCAGACTCACAAAACGTTCAAACCCCAAAACACAATGGAGTTGCTATACATGAGCATGCCAGGTTGGTCATTGGGCTCGGCGTGGTTTCTCATGGCTGTCGCTCGGCCGTTCAGCTTGGAAATCAATAGCTAGTGACAAAAAACCCGCAGCAAAGACGCCTCCTGCCGCTGTCTCAGTAGCTCCAGCATGGAGTCGAGATCCTGACAAAGGAGCATTCACGGTGCCATGGGAATGCCCAATAACTTCACTTGCGCATCAGACCTTACAACTTTACATCCCAGAAGTCTCAAGCTTGCCGCTCGACACCAAACAAAACAAAGGTCCCACGCACCCAGCTATTTGCACCCGCTGCACCGGTGTCTTTGGTGGATCAGCTGTACAGCTGTCCCATAGACAGCTGTCGCTGTAAGGCCAGGGCTGCATTTGCAAGGGGCGCAACTTCACAGTGGTGCAATGGTGCAATGCACCAATCAACGGGGCTACCCACAGCCGCCCGTTGAGCGCGGCCAGCGAACCGTGGCCGGCTCAAGATCTTGGAGTTCGTGAGCAGGCTCTTTGGCTCACTGGTCCTTCTTGGTGTCCTGAGACCATCCGCAAACACCAAACGACACCCGGAATTGTGATTCAGCTTAAGCAGTGAGGAGCCATGTTCTCAAGTTCATGTGCGATCGATCCTCCGACAGTTCCTCATTCTTGTCTGGCTTGTCCTAGACACGGGCAAGCAAACAAACTGCACTGCGGCCGAAGGAATGCCTATCAACCTCCTGAAACATACGCAACTGCTGCTCCCGTTGCCTCCTAGGCCACCATCCATCATAGCAGGGGCTGTTCTGTCTTTAGACTGTATACATAGCCCTGGTGACACAAATGTCTTTTACATCGCTCGAAAGAATCCCGATGCAGCTGTCTTGCCACGCCGGTCCTCAGGCTGGTCCTCGTAGTCCTCGTCGTACATTCCTACGCACAAAGGATTCGAAATGCAACGACGGGAAGCCACTGTGATATGCCTCGCTGAGACTTAGCATATATATCATTAACTGCCAAACTTGCTATCACACAGGCTCGCCAGGAACAACATCGATTGCACAAAACACACACATACACACACATACACTCACAACAAGCTATCAATATGACAAGGCCCCTGTCTCATCATGCAACACTGAATGAACAAATATCGGCCCGTTTCTCGTGCATGGCAGCAGTACCGACATGATCTGCGAGCGAGCTGCTATTTGTGTCGACTGGGTAGATGTGTCTCTGATAGAGGTAGATCAGAAAGACCACATCATCTCGAAAGCATGACATACCTTCGAAAGCCAAGACGCTCACACGTGTTGCGGTTCCGCGTGCAATCAAACCCTCGAAGGCAGCAGTACAACAACACTGAGTGAATCGTGCAGCCACTTCGGCACTGAGACCCAGTGTTGATGTGTTGCTGGTGTAAGGCAGTCATTGCATGTGTGAAGTAAGATGGAATCAAACCAATCCGTTTGCTTCCCGGTTTGAATTACTTAATTTAAACATGGATATGTTGATATACGCATATATGGTACCCCCCGCATAGACCCTGGTTTGGTGAGCTTGAGCTGTGTTTTTCCAGTGTTGTATGCCTTCTTGCCTCGTTGTTTTTGTGTGGCAAAATTGAGGGGGTGCCATATGTACATATATATATATATATATGCGTGCATACATATGTATAAGCAATGATATCAACATCTGCCATCTGACAGAGTCTACATCCATCTCAGAGCATTTTATTGCTTGAGAAACATGTGGGATTCAAGAGTCGACATTGAGAAAAATATGTTTGGGAATCTTGAATCTTGAATCCCAGTTTTTCTTTTGTAAAGAACAAATGACAACTCCAGGGTTGTCCCAGCACTCCAGGTGTTCAATACATACTTCTGCAACCAAGTATACGCACCCATCTGTGCAGGATCATGAGGGGTTCTACATGTTTGCATGCATGTATGTGCATATGTATATATATATATATGTATAAATATGTTCACACACCATCACCCCCCCCACCTGAAATACCAGTCCACCTCTGCGCTTCTACTACCTCCGCCTTTTGAGATAGAATGACGTACTTGTTCCTGTCCAAATAAGACTTCAACCAAATAAGACTTCAAATACAATTGACCTAGAATCCCTGTTTCGAGATAGTTTTAGAACTTGAACCTCCCTTCCCTTGAAATGTCCATTTTGGAACACCGTCTAACAAGCTCAATTTCGCAAAAAAATGCATATCAAATGTTGCTAAGCATTTAAGGGACTTCTACAAGGAAATTCAAAATACGATTTGTTATTTACATTCTGCACATTGTGTTCGTGTTAGATTGTATTTAACACTTAGACTATATTTGGGATTCAACTCCTATCTAATTGACTTTGGAAAATAATAGTTGGAGTTTACCCAAAATTACATTTGCATTTTCATGTGACTCCTATTTGGAAAGATGCTTCTTTAAGTTATAGCTGAACATGAAACATACTTGGGACAACTATATCCTCACTGAAATATTTTCAAAAGCCAATACTAGTTGAAGTAACATCCTATTTGGAAAGGGTATCATATTGGGACATTTCAGAGGACTCCGGGCTCCAAATTATGAGGCTTTGGACATTTCGAGAATTTAAACCTCTAGATTCTAGACTTATCATCCCCAAAAGGCACTAAAACCAGGGTCCATTGGGAAGGGTGCATACCCCACGCACAAACAAGCCATGTTCTATTTGGGATTTGGGATTGGGGGTGGCACTGGGGAGGAAGAGGTAACAAGGCACTGAAGCCTTTCAAGTGCTTGTTGGAAATTACACCATACTCTGGATGGACAAAATCCGGCATCACTTTGAAACCATGGGAAACCATCTTTTGTTGGTATTTACAGGGGAATCATCATTTTAGGGTTTTTTAGGTGGTGCAGGATTTTGTCCACCCACAGTAGCAGGCGTGTCGAAACATGTCTTCAGCCCCGCAAGTGGCAAGGCTCAACTCCACGGAAATGCTCCTGAGTGCCAGATCGCAACTGAGGTTCAGGCGGTGCATTGTCGGCATCTTGATGATGAAAGAAAACAAGTCATCCTCAACGCACATGGCTCCGCCAAGCGAAGGACCTGGAAGCCTTGAAGTATTCCCACAAGTCCAAAATCAAGGGTTCCAGTTTGGGAGGCACACCCTCCGAATGCTGAAGAAACACCAAGTATGGAGCACAGCTCCTTGGCCTTAGACCTCACAAGCAAAGAAGTGCATGGTGCCTCCTACCCTGTGCCTCATGGCGGTTGACAGGCCACAGTAAACAGACGCATAGGGCCAAAGCCATGGCAGGATGCAAAACGGAAAGCCTGCTCTGATGCCGCAGTGAACTGATTGGGTGCCCAAGGCTTCTGAGCCCATGCATCAACAGTCATGACAGGTTTGCAAAGCTGCAGCTCAAGCTTCAATGAAGGTGTTGATGGCACCTGAGCTTGGCACTTCTCAGGCGGTTTATCATCCGACCTACATGGATTTGAAACATCCGATTGGGCTTGATACAAGGGAGACAAAACAGCTGGCCAAGCTGGGATCAAAATTACACAGAACACCTTCACACACTAGACTGAACATGTATGAATGGAATGATCTAAGTGGAGAGAGCGGTCCGTGTTGAATTGCTGCAATACGAAGCGGCCACTTTGCAAGAGTGCTTTACTCACAAGGGACGCGGCTGTGGGTCAAAAATAGGTAGCCTAAATGGAGCCCTGGTAAATGGAACCAAGGACTAAAACCTGCGGTCCCCTGGTGGTGTAATTTTGACCCATACCCATGCAGTCTCTGGCACGGCTAGGGTGCCGAAACTTCATGAAGGGCGCGACTTGAAGCCGATAAAGCGCAATGGCTTCCAGGCACACGCCGGCCCAAAATCGGCGGAGAAAAATGAACCTTTGGGCGTGACTTTGAGGCTTTGAGGCAACCTTGGAGCATTCCTGGCGCTTCCTTGGCCACCCACCTAGACCGACTCAAGAGCAAGAAGAACAACATGCGAAGTAAGCAAAATTGCTGGTTGGGGACTGCTCGTAGGACCATGTGAGCCTCATGTGCAGCAACAGTCAGGAGACCATGGAGAAACAGTGAATGCAATTAAACGTTCCGCGCCGGACAAACGTGTGACATGGAGGGTGTCATCAAAAAAGCAACTCCAAGCCTGTCGGACTGGACAAAATATAAAGCAATCGGGATTTGCCAACCTGTGCTTGGTGATGACTCAGAAGCCCAAAGCTCAAACACTGCATCACCTTCCTAAACGGAAAAGTGTTGGATACGATGGTGTGCCAACAGGGGCAGCTGAAATCGTGTTGTGACGTTTCAACAAGGGCAGCTAATATAGATTTGTCTCAAAATGAGGGAACCCCCAGGATGGGTGGCTTCCTTTTGGTTCCCCTTCAAAACCAAGCCAAAAGGCATGTTCCCCAAACGATTAGGATCCAGGGTCGATCCAAGCTGCGGTAGATAAACCTCTTCCAGGGCAAGTGCGCCACAGACTTCATGCGATAGTTGATGAAGAGCTGTGGAGTCCTCGCTTTCCAAATCGCCACCCAAAACCCATGGACTGGTGGGAATACCAGTCCATGGGCATGGTCACAACCCATTGAACCAGGTAGAATCACCTACAAAAACGGCCAACAAAGGCCTAATAGAACTACCTGCTGCAGTGAATACCCAACACCAAAGAGTACAACAAGCCGATGTGGGACCGCCCATCTGCAAAACCCAGAAGCACAAGGCCAAGACCGATACCCAATGTGGCTTTGTCTCATTGGATATGATGAACTCCTGCACACGGGCCAGATTCCTTTGGTTCCCCTTTCAAACAACCCCAAAGGGGGTTGACAGCCCCACATGGGTGGGAAAACTCTGGTGAGTCATAAAAAAAACTGACAAGGACATGTCCGCTCAGCTTCTCCAATCCCAAGCTTGTTTTTTCACAAAAGATCGATGATATCCAATGGGTCATGGCAATGGTGTGTCTGAATTCTTTCCTGAAGCCATAAGTCAAAGGACAATGGCTGTTCGTTTTCCAAGGGATTGTGATATTGGCAGTTGGTGCTGACTTGCGCTCTTAAACGGCGACAACGTGAAGGCAGCAGCAAACATGTTGGGATAGCTTCAACAATTGGCAAAGCAAGCTGGTTCACGCAAAAGTGCTGTCAAACACGATTTCACTACTTGGTTGGCGTCTTGAATGCAAATACCAACGGTAGCCTCACAGATTGTCGGCGATGCCAGGGCAAAGCGACCATCTCAATCAATTGCAGCGTTCCTTCTACAACATATCTCGTTCAACAAATGTTCGTCAAATGAGCTAGTAGGACGAGCTGCTCCCGTCTATGAAGCTGTACACAACTCTGCCAGTAGGAATATGTCATTGGCTTGCTTTGTCTTCACGAGTGGCATTCCAGTGTGTACTGTACTTGTGTGTTTGCGTATAAAGATCATCCAAGAGTATTCTCAAACCAAGCTACACCAGGTTGAATGACTTTTACTCGCTAAGTTTATAACATGGTGCCTCTCATCGGTGTTCCCGAACGTTAAAAAAAATGCAGCCATCCAATATTCCCATTTACTTGGCGGCGGGAAGGAACCTCAAGCTACAGGTACCCCTTTCGCTTCCCTGCAGCAGCGCCACATCAACGCAAAGCCCAGCGCATAGACCAAGGATGCGGAGACGTGGAGGAGGTACCTGAGCAAGCCAGTGGCTACACACTTCCTTTCGGCAAACAGCGAGAGCTTACTGCATTAGAGTCTTCATTGGAGTAGAGAGTAAATCCTTTGTAATATGCTAGACAATGCGCAAGCCAGCGCTGGCTATCTATGACAGGCCTTCCTTGAAGGGGTTCACGTGACCAAAACACAAGCCACAAATTGAGTTGATCGCTCTCCCTGATGCACTGAAAGACACTGCATGTAGCCAAGTCTCGCATAGATGCCCTTGTGGCACTCGTACTTCAGAGAATACACCGCATATATCAGGACAACAGGCACCAATACCTTGGCCAGGGCAATTGCAAAGGGACCGGCAGGCTAAATGACTAAAGCTCAAACAAACCAGAAGCTGCAGTCCGTCCAACATGAGCTGATGTAAGGCCAGCGCATATGACAAGTACGTCAATGCTATTTTGTCGTAGTCGTCCTTGGATCTGCAGAGGAAATGATTCAATTGCCAACTCACTGCCCAATGCGCGGACCTACGACAAGGCCTTGCCAAGTCACGGTGCTCGAGTGAGGTACTCGGCTCCTCAACACGGGATAGGGCACGGCGCCGCCGGTTTGGAGCTTCACCTGGCGCACGTCGACGGATTTCGGCCCGAAACACGGCGCGAGACATTCGGAAACTTGAGCTGGGTGACCGAACTTAGTCCGTGTGTGGGTTGCTTATCACTGCATCCAAAAGCATCTAGAGGTACGAGTATCTGCCACAGCATCCAGGGCAAAACGATTCCGCTGTGAGAGACGCGTGAACCTGGAATGGTTACAAAAAGAATGTGCGTTTGTTTTGGCAACAGGAGTAGGGAGGACCGTTCGGGCAATTCCAACGAACCACCTCTCCACTGCATATATACACATTCAAGCTGCACACTCTGCGAAAGGGAAGCTCTAAAGCAAAAACATCTTTCCCATGATCCATGAGCTCATCCTCTTCACATTCCTCTTACTTCCAAAGGCAAGGACTTGGTCGTGACTGGACCCAAACCACGCGCATTGTGGTAGAATTGTGGCTTGAGGCTTCCCAACATACAAATTTCAGTCTCCCAAGGCCGCACCTGCCTCCACCACTCTTGTGAGCTTCCAGCAGTCCACTGCAATTTGTCCCAGCATCAGGATCAGAACCAGCCAGCCTGTATCTTGGTCGTACCTGAGGCTCTGGGGTTCCACTCACATGTCACCTACGGATATGCACCTTGTTGTCTGGCAAAGGTTAGCTCACACCAAGCTGAGACTCTATGGGAGCACAACACGCTTCAAGCAGCGTCACTTGGCTGGGGCTTGAGTATGAGCCAGGGACATTGGCTTGTCAGTTCCCAACGACTGGTGTCGAGGGCTTTAAGATCGCCATGTAGCTTCCCAGATGTGGTGGTCAAGATAGGCAGACGAGCTGCAAGTAGGCCCAAAGCACCACATTGCCTCAGCTCTGATTTGCCATGCGCTGTGGCTGAGGCGGGCTAAGTTCTGGTTCGACAAAGCACAAAAGAGTAAAAACGTACAAATAGGGTTCCGCGCTTCCGGCCTTATTCAGCACAAGCTTCCATATGATGAGCTGTAACGATACAGCCACGTTGGTAGCTGAATTCCTCAAACATATGTCTAGAAAATGTTAATTGCGTGGCCTTCACCAACTTTGCAAACGGCTCAAACATGGCTCAAATGTCAGGCGTGGAAGACTGTGCCAAGGTGCACACAACCTCGCCGCAAATCGCCCGCAAAGAGACATATCGCTTCAGCGTCTCAGCATCTGTTTTCTGCCAGAACATGACCTGGCCGCGGGCCTCGAAGCCTCTGTCTGATGGGAATGACTTCCTTCCCTCAACAATCAAGCCTCAGAACGTTTGTGGCACACACATACCAAAAGGCCCGCTCATTCGTCGCTGAAGTTCTTAAGGCCATCTTTGGGCACAAACAAAATGGCCGCGCACAAAGGCGCTGCTTCATGGGACTGGATGCAAACGTTCGGAAAACACACATACAATGTACATGTCCAGCAGGCTGCAGGCTTATCCTGTGCCTCTTCACCAGGAGATGGACAGGACACACACAGTGAAAAGGAGAGCAACAAGATGTGTCAACCAATCTTTGCTTGCACCAAAGATACTGATGTGGTCGGTCCACTTCTTGCATCATGACGTGCAATTGCGATGTGATTGCATTCACACACACATATACATAGATATATGTATATATATATATGTATATATGCCATTTGTAGGAAGGGGCCGAGCAAGTCTCTGCAGGTCCTACTATAACAGTTCCATTCCTTTGCCATATCACGAATTGTGAAGGCAATCGAAGACGAGTGGCGTCATGCTTCAACGCCAAGTACTCAAAGATCATGTGCAAAACGCTCACCACAAAGGTGGTGATCAGCAAGTACGAGTTCGTGTTGGCGAACCTGAACAGATTCCAACGCAGCAAGTAAATGAAGCAGTCACTCAAGACTTGGCTGGCATGACCCAACAAGCATTTGCCTGGAATCCCTTCCTCCTATTGTCTTTTTGCTACCCTATTTTTCCTTCTTTTTGCCAGGCCAAAATAACATCCAAAAACAAACCGCCCCTTGCCTGTTATTCACCAAATACCAAAGCAATACTACACTTCAAACATTACCCTTACTAGGGGATACCTTGCAGCTCTTCCATTGTTCAACTGCTACCCACTAGAAACATGAACACGAGGCCCAAATAAGATTCAAATTCGTACCAAATGGGAGGCATCCAATATTACTTTTCCTGAAAACCCTCCAATCGCCAGCTTTTCGCGCTCCAATCGCAACCACAGCGGGGCCAATCACGGAGCAGACTTGGTAACTTCTTCCCATCTTACCAGCAAACATGCATGTTGCCCCAATCGGGGCCAATCGCCGGCCTTTGAATACATTAATTGAAGACATGAATTCGCGGACGGCCCCAAAATAACGGAAACTGAAAAGACGCAGACCTGGATTGTATCAAAAATAGCCTACAACTCAAATGTTCAAAGTTGCATTTCTACGGCTCCAGCGGCCAGCTGGAACTTTCCCCCAGAAAAAGAGGGATCCTGGAGCCCTATTTACGAACCGGTTTTCCCACAAACAAATATTGATCAAAAAGGGGGCCGGGATTCAATAGTCGGGGGAAGCGCTTATTCCACGAATGATGCACCTGTCAGAACAGCACATTTTGAATATGGCAGGGGACTCTAAATTCCCACCTGACCTTTCACAATTCTTCTCAAATCGTCAGAATCCTAGACCCAAATTATCAGCACATTCCCACCTTTACCCACCTGTCCATGTACAGTGCTGCGATCCGAGGTGTGGGATTTGTCTGCTTAGTTTGGCTTAAAATCAAGCGCGACAAGCTGCAGGTCGCGCATCTGAAGCATCTCTTCGGCATCCTCTCCCAGGTATTGATCTGCCATATTCTTCAAATTCATATCCATCCTCGGCAAGAACCGGCCAGGCCGCTTGTGGTTCAACAACGCCCTTCAAAGCTGGCACAGGTTCAAGCGTATGCCACAAGCGTGCAGTTCATGGTCCCTTACACATTCGGATGGTGAACAACAACGTTGCTGTGCTTCCTGCGTTGTTCTCACATAGCAGTGACATCATCCCCAAATTGTTGTGGGCACAAGCTTTACAAATTGCTCACATCAAGCACTTTGCTGCTGGCACGGTACAACAAAACATCAAAATACAAGCATTGAACTGTGAACTGCCGCTGAGAACACATGCAATGTGTCTGTCCGGAAAGCCATGCGGCAGTCTCTGAAATCTCCAGCGGGCAGCAGACATCAAATCGAAATGCAACTCCTTGGTTTTGGGCAGATCATGGCTGCTGGCATGTCGGCGGCTCAGGCAGGCTGAAGGAATCTTTGGACTGGGCCATCCTTCCCAGGGGCCACAAGCAGCTACTGGGATCCATGGCCGGGCCAAAGGAGAGGGAGCTGTCCCATCCAAATTCACACTGCAAGCAGCACACATAGGAAGTGTGCCTCATCATAAAAACTGGCTGGACCAGCCCAATATCATGGCTAGTGTTTCAAAACTTTGGCTTTCCCGGTTTGCGCCTTTGCCGGACGTCGGCTACCACCTGTTTGCCCACAATGACCTGGGTTTCTCTAGGCATTACCCCTAGAATAGGTGGTGTCCAGTTCGTTTCCCTTTGGAAACAACCGCAAAAAGGACTCCGTCAAGGAAAGACAGAGGCAATAGGCACACAGTGCAGCTCGAGGTCTGCAGTGAAGTTATCGTCTGCATCTGGATTGAACTTGATAAGCTGGTCATTGGTCATCCAGAATTCATCAACATACCTTGCGGTCAGGAAGGGGTCTCTCAAAAAAGAGGTCTCGCAAATCTGGTTGGTCTACTTGTGGTTGCCTTCGAACCATCATCCCAAAAACCGGCTTCCTATTTCGAGACCGTCCGGGGAAGCACCGGTGCCACAACAAAAAAGGGGTGCGCTGCCTGCAGGTACGGGCAATCTGTCCCAACACAAGCCAGGCTGCATCTCCGGAAAGTAGTGATCCATCTTCCACGGTCTAGGATAGTGCATGCGATCATACACTAGCCTGACCTGTGCAGGTAGCAGCTTGCGCAATGGAATGCAATAGCAAGCGCCTGCATCTTTGGTACCCCTCTCGCAGTCTTTGGCGCATCCTTACCTCCGTATCTCCTGATTGTCGAGGATATGGAACCTCAACCTTCTTAGAGGATAACTACATGGTGACCAGCAATGATTCTGGGCTCCGCATCGTGACAAAGCACGTCTTACACTGGCTTCCGCAACAACCATTTCTGGCATCAACCTTCGCCTGTTTGCTCAATATTGTGGCCAACGCAAATTACGAGAACAGCACTTCCATGCCCACTCAAATCTCAACATCAAAGCAGTCCTCTCCGTGTTGTCTTCACAGACTTCTCCTGGGCGCCACAACAATATGGTTTGTTTCGATCATGCAGTGCCACCCATTCCGCTTCCTGCTTGCTGTCACCTACAGTGCAGTGTCTCAGTCGAGGTTGCTGGGATCTCGTAGCATTTAAATCTTTGCCCAGCGGGTCTATGGAGCACCAGGGCCCACATTTGCTAGTGCTTCGTCGGAGCCAACTGAAGCAAAGGAGACTGGGTGCCCCTGGGCCACCTAGGGAGTTTACACGGCAAAAGTACCCCTCCATCCGCCTGAAGCCAGCCAGTACTTTGCAGCTTGTACCTTCATCTTGTCGTACCTCGTTCAACGCATGCAGTGCCTCCTCTTCACAACCTGGTGTGCTCGTGTCTGCGGGGTTCATGCTGTTGGTTGCTTGCCACTCTGCTACACTCGAATATCGATTCTTCAAACACAAGGGCAACACAAGCAAGCGCAACTGCTGCCATCGTTATCCTGCCCCACATGTCCAAACAACACGGAAACAGCCTGCCCCACGCTGGCAGGGAAGGGGGCACTTGATGGTGCCGCCATGTGCTTCGGCAATGCGTTCACCTGCCATTGACTGCAGCCTTTGGTGCTTGGCTTCGACATTTCAATGACTTCTGAAGGGACCCTCAATGATCTGAACTTTGAGTTTGGGTTGCAAATGATCCATGCAGGCAATACGAGCAACATATGCGGCTGTATGGAACAATACTTGCAGTTTGCACACAAAAAAAACACGTCAAGGAACTGAGCAGCTTGCAAGACCCCCTTCGACAACTGCCCCATGAACTCCAAAGACTTGGGCTGGGGATTGTGCTCAGGACATTACTCCTACCTATTAGGGGCTCCAGGAAACCACAGTGCCGCTGTGACCATTGGCCAATTGGCTCTTTGTGTACCAGGCTTCTCTCCTCACTGTCCGCGTAGCAATTAGAATGACTAGAGTATTCAACTTGCTACTGGCAATCCCATCAGTCCAATAGAATCTTTCCAGCTGCCAGGGCGGGCGAGCACGTGGCATCTTTCAGGAGAAGGCACACGTCCAGACGAAAGCGCCACACAAGGCTGGCCAGGTTTTGGTCAGCCATGGACATGCCACGATGTGTTGGAAATAGAAGGAGCATGCTTGAAACACAACGTCCCAACCATTCCGGATCCAACGATCCCGACGGTGGTTTCGGCAGCCTCAACGTTCATCAGTCAACCTAATACAATGTAGAGCCTCAGTAACTTGGACATCGGCATGATGCGGCTTCCAGTTTCAGCCGCATGATTCAACACGTTGATGCCGTCCGCTAGCGGAAATGTTGGCTCGCATGGCCGGTAGAATGACATGAAGCGACCCGGGGCTGAACTGAACCGCTAACTCGCCCAAAGCTCCCACGGCTTGGACCTCTCGTTGTAAGCAGCCGTGCAGTCACCCAAACGTTCCTGGCGTGTGCAAGGAAATGCGCCGGGCACATGAAGTATCATTCACAGGAGATGAAAGTTCGAGGGCCATCTGAAAATGAAGGAATCCCTGATCAAATGGCAGATACATAGATACGCATTCCGCGGGCCGTTCAAAGTGGCTGGACCGACCCAAACCAAGAAGCTACGAGCTGGTAATCAGAAGTGGCCGCAAGCTTCCCGCCAACGTCAAGGATGTCAAGGGACACGCAGATACCAAAAACTCCAGGACCTTTGCAGCTGAGGCGCTTCATCTTTGTCAGCATCTTGTCTGAGACGTTCACCCGCACTGATGTGGTTGACGGCAGGAAATCCTTGACTGGCCGTCAAATCAACACAGTTCGCTGCGTGCACCAATACGCAAGCCAACATAATCTGGATAGGAATGTGCTGCCCACAATGTGAGCGGGAAGAGATACATATATATATATATATGTACATTGTAGAAATACGTTATTGCATCGATGCTCAGCAACGGCGGTAGTTCCAAACATATCGCTTCATCCACTATCTTCCGTGCCAAATTTTGCTCTGTGGGTGCGGGGAGCTTCCTCTTCCCCTGTATTGCAAAGCTGGGTCCCTGACGATACTACCCCGGAACATGGAGGCTTCGAATGAACTCAAACTGCGGTCGAAAGACGAAAGTCCATACTCATTGAGGACCATCTCCCCAACAACACAGGAGCGGGTGCATTGACCATGCATTGAAAACCCTCTTGAGTGGTGGAGGTGTACTCCAAACGTCTCACCCCAGCCAGAGTGCCATGTTACCAAGGCGCGTCTTCGTCGTAAACGAAGGTGTAGTTCCAAACAGGTGTCGCATCTCGGGCGATTGTCGGCTTTGACCTGGATGCAACATGTTTGTCGAATAAGTCGACCGATCTCACAGCAGCCACAATTCAACAGCTGTTCGTTATAAGTAAGATTCGCTTGGTACAAGTATATGATATTGTTATGCAGTAAATGTATATATATATATATATACTCATCTATCTATACTTGCATGTGCATATATACATACACCGCATGTAGAATGTGAATCGCCAACCTGAAATGCGGAAACCTTGAACTTGCAATCAAGGGTCCCCAAAACATCCCTTAGTTTCCTCTGATGAGGTTTCAAAAAGGGTCGCCGCAGGTTTTGAGTTTGAGTCACCTGAGAAAGTACTTGGATCCTGGGTCCAGCGGTTGCTTCATGGATCGTCCGGTCGATATTCGTCGCTTGCAGCAGGGCGGCTTGCTCTCCTTGACGAAGACGTGGAGCATCAACTCCTCACCTCTTTCTATCCTGACAGAAGCAAAATGGGTGTGTCTCACAATAGGGTGCCTTCCAAAATGCGAAGGATTCCCTTCAGAATACACCAAATCAAAGCACCCTGAAAAAACACATGTATGAATCAAACAGAAAAACTGCTGTCCTTGTCCTAAACAAACATACTAACCTTCATGCTTGCTGACCGCAAATCCTGAACAAAGCAGCAAGTCCTATTCTGGTACTTCATCAGAGGGCGATGACTTGCGTCGTACTCCTGGACGTCGAATAGAACTCAAAGTGTCTTTCACACCAAGCTAACTTCCACGAGACAAACTGAGGTCCGGAAATGTCGGGTAGAGCTGCGCGTACATATTCTTCGCGGCCTCAACATACAATACTTCTGAGCCCCTTGTTTCAGTCCGACATCCAATAAGCCACAACCACCGGGGATAGACCGCTACTGTCTCGCAACTGAGTCACAAGGAACACCTGGTACTAAAGGGGTCTATCCAAACGAATTCAAAGACTTGGCGGCCGCACCCACCTACTGGCCGCAGCTACCCTGTTTGCGACTGTTGTTCACGTGCAATGTGAACTTCAACGACTCCAAGCTCCCTGCCATTCCAAAGTAACCTGACACGGAAAGGCGAACTCACATGCCGGCAACCTCGCGCGAATAATACACAACTTACTGCTTACCTTATCGGTTGAAGCGGGAAAACTCGTCCCTCCAGCGACTCGAGTCAAACTGTTCCAGACTGCAAGAGACCTATGCTATCAATTCTGATGCACAAAATACACTGTAGCTCCATCTGGGTGGTGTTGTTTTTCCTTTCTAGTTCAGTTGAAATATGTTGAAATATTCAAACGTCCACCAACCCTTCCGCGTTCTGGAAGGGTAGCTTCCGCGAAATGATTTGTCAGAAAACTGCTCCCGCAAGCTTCCGCGGACATAAGTCGGCAGCAATTGGAGGCATGTTGCTTCCGCGATCAAAGTTTAAGCCTTGCTTTCAACTTCGGGCATTGGCACTAGCACTGTTCATCTTGTTGTTTGTTGCTGCTGACAAGTCGTGTTCTCTGCCGAGCATTCTCTACGGCAAGCAGAGGGGCAGCGATGCGCCTTTCAGCATCTCACCAAGCACTGAGCCGATGGAAATTAGGCCCCTAGGCTTCTTCCAAGGAGGTTCAGGAGCTGCCGCTTCTCACAGAAGACGAGTTTGTGGTCAACGAGCGGGCATGTGTATGCTGGGAGGGGCGAAGCTTCTGCAGAAAGCTGCGTTTGAGATTCTGATTTGGTTTCCCTCCAGCCTTTGTAGCACTTACCTCAGTCTCTTCATTCAACAAACACTGCTTGATCGTTGGCACCATTGTCATTGGCAACGCGAAACAACTGCAGTGCTGGTGTCAGCACAAATTCAATCAAACATACGACGTAAACCCTTTCGCGCTCTTCCGCAGGCAAAACTCTTCCGCGAAGCTTCCGTGGCCTTCCGCACGCATTATCGAAACAATAAAACATATTTACATACTTAATTGAGGAGCAAGAAAAGCGGAACTCATCTCTTGCTGCACACATCCCACGTCTCCACTCGCAACTCAGGCCTAGGATCAAAAGTGGGACGATCTCTGCAGCTCCGCCCAGCAGACCCTCAGTGCCCGGTAAAACTTCAAAGGGAAAGACACAGAGTTCACCTGCAGTGTGCTGCAGGTGCAATCTGCGCAAAAAAAAATAACTACACCCAGCTTGCAGTTCGGGTTGATGGCCAGTTACCCTGAGTGACACAAATAGACGTGGTCTCCGTGTAGCTATGTGCACACACCATTCAATGCGTCTTTGGTGTGCAAGGGACTCGAAGGACCTTGAAGGATTGGTTTGAACTATGTACCATTAAAGAAAGCAAGTGATCCAGCAGGGCTCATGTCAGCACCATCCATTGATGTCCAGTCGGACTGTTCTTAAACTCTGCACATTGGTACCCAAACAAATGAAATTATCATACCCTCCTGGAAGCTATACCACTGTACAGGCTTGGCGTCGTGACCTTTGAGAGGCATAAGAGGCACCCGGCTACCACTTAACGAGGCTGCCGGCCAAGCAGCGCAAAGAAAGCGTTGATGCTGTTTGCAAGTTAAGAGATGACTGATTGGTATGGTTTTCCCAATATGTGATTCAAGCTGGTGCTCTGCAATGATCCCTGGCTGAGCAGCGCTCCTTGGATGGTGGCTTCTTTTTCTCTTTCTTCTTCTTCACCTCTGCACGTAATGTCGGCACATGATTCACAAATTACAGACGCCCGGTTTTCCCAGCCGGCCACAAGTCAATACTACTTTAAAGGCACCCACCAGGTTTGGCCACTCTGAATCGTTTTGGGCACCTCCGAAAACCCCCTCTGATTGGAATCTCGCTTTTCGGACCAAAATTGATTTAGACAAATCACCAAAGGAGTTGCCAATACGTTTGCCCATACTAACTCCTTTCGTAGTCAAGGGTTTCCATTCCAGGAATCAACAAAAAGGCTAGCCCGAAACAGCAAATTGTATACAGGTTCTTTGAACAACAAGGTTTGACAGGCTCGTAAAGTGAACCCCTCCTTCAAGGCTGGCCCCTCGAATAACACAAAAAAAAGCCTCTGATGAATCCTGGCCCTCTCCAGCCCTGGGAAAACAAATGCAATTCACTTTTACTTTCCTATTGCAGGTCCACAAAGGACCGGAGTCCAGACTAATCCGAGGGGCCAGGAAACCCTGCAAAACCTTGTCAACCTTGAGGGAGAGCGGGGTGGGGGGGTGGTTTACTAACCATGCTCCCCCGTTACACAGACTCCAGGCTGTCTTTTCGGGGGAAATCAACGAGTCGGTTCATCCAAACTACCCTACCTGTCCTCTTGGGATTCAAGGAAAGGAGATGAGCCCCTCCACAACTATTTCTCGTGCACCTGGGAAAGACACCGCACAGACTCCGAGGAAACGTGCGCCTTGCCCTGGTCGTTCTCCTCCGTCTTCTCTCCATTCTCTGCAACCTCCTCCCCCTGACAAACTGTGCCGAGCAAATGCCACGACTTCTGGCTGACGACACGCAAAGTAAGGTCACGTAGGGACAGCAGTATCTTGTTCAACAATCTCTTCAGAAAATTCATTCCTCCTTTCCCTCAGATCTGGCCAACTCATTGGCCAGTTTTTGTGCGCGGCGCCAAGGGAAGCCCTGAACTCAAGGGAGCTCATCAGGGGCCAGCCCTCAAGAGCCTGACAAGGCATGTCAGTGTGTTTCTTTCACCCACTGTGCAATTCGGGTAACAACGGAAAAGGGCAAACTCACGCGCACAACCGTGCTTTCGTGGGGACATTCGGAAGCTGAGTTTCAAGACTTACACCCCACCGAAACAGCAAGGTGCAAGCCAGTTTAACACCTTGATTCAACCCGGCATCCAAAGCGCCGCCATTGACAAAAGTTGCCCCTAGCAAGCAAACCAGGCATGAAGAACTGCTGCATCTTCTGTTCATGCCAATATGCAAACCATCATGAACGCCTCACATCGCCTCACTGTTCTGCTGGTGAAAATCAAGCTTCTTCACTGCTGTTTTGTGAGTTGTATTGCCTGGTGCTGCTTTGTGAGTTGTATGGCCTGGTGCATGTTGAAGCTTCAGGTACGCACTTCTTCTGAGTTGAGGATTGGCTGCCACGTCACGGGCCATGTCTTCGATTGAATACAACGGCTCTCAACTCCAGTCATTTCCAATCTACCATTCTTGCCAGAACACTTGTATTTTAACCATGCGCCTTTCTTGTGTCTGATTCCGGCACCCTCAAAACACAGCGATGTCGAAGAGACTACACCTAGCAATCGCACCGACGAATCCTGGGACCTGCTCCGAAGGCGAGGCACCATTGATTTCTTGGTTTAGTTCCCGTTGTCCTAACATATTGAGTGTGATGTTTAAGAGCAGAAAATGCCACGTAGCACCTGTGGGAGGGTACCAGGAAATGCCACGTAGCTAGATTGCCCGCTTCCCGTGGCAAGATTCGAGCAACGGTCAATATTTACCGTCATCTGCAGTAATTAGCAAAGGGGATGACAGTTGGCAGATACCTAAATGCCGGTAGGAAAAAGAGGGCACTCACCAAACTCCAATGTCGTTGGGGGCCACAATGCATATTGACCTAGGTATATTACATACATATGTATGTATATATATATATGTATGTATATATATATATATACACATATAGTTGTATACAACGAAGCTTCCCCAAACGCCTCGGTGCCCTCTGTGCGCGCGATCGATGCCGATCTCTTGACCATTCGAGCGCCGAATGGAGCCCACACGCGGCTTGAACCAAAACTGCGGCTGCATCCATGCCTTGCGTCTAAGGCTGGGGCAAGGCTGCCAACCTCAAAAATAGCAGCAGCACTGGTTGCCTCGTTGAGTTCAGCAAGCTTCTTGACACTCATGCTGTTGATGGCAAGGCTCCAAGAGGGACTCACATGTTCACCTTCTGCCTGTGACTGACGAGAAGGCACTGGAGTAAACCCTGCAATAACCCTGCAATTTCTACATCGTTCATGATACATTGGATCCATTCACAAAATTCAAAAGATATGCATGTGGCGTCAACTGAGCCCTGTCTCGTGAAACATGAACAAATACAAGCAAAGGATTGCTGCCATGCTAACATATTCTGTCCACGGTCAATCCTCGCGCATGTCGTTCTCCAGTCCGCCTCGGAGCAATGTGGGCTTGAAGTCTCTGGAAAACTAAAATTCCGTGCAACAATATTATGTTGCAGCAATGACGAACATGAACACTGGTCGAAATGACTCTGCCTTAAAGCAGACCAAGACACGGTGCGCACAGCTTTACATCCACGACGGATGTGTCCAGATAAGGAAGCGGCAGCCATTTTCTGGAAATTCGATCAGCCATTGATAGACCGTCGATGGATTTGACTTCAGCGGCACTCACAATGGATCACCGACAATCGTGCTAGTCTGTGAAAGTTGCTCAAGACATCAGCTCCTAATCACCCATAGCCGCTGCACGCTTGGAAGCTGTATGGTAATGATTGAATTAAAGTCATAGTCCCCACAAACAGACAACATGAGCCTTGTAAAAGCATAATCTGATGCATCTGAAACAAGAATACCTGACACCAATATGCAACCATTCCAGAAGCGACGCAAATCAAACAGAAGCAGAGGCGGTCGTACAACATTGAGCCCAAAGGCTAGTATGACGTCAACTGGTGGAAAACTGAGATTTCGAGCGTGGACCCCCAACCCAAGCACGAACACTTTCCAAGATGCTACCTCCAGGGCTAGCTTCATGCATGCCAACTGCTTCAATGCGAATCATCATGCCATGGCAAACGCCACATGCTCATACCGACAATCATAGACATGAGCCGAAACAATGGTCTCCTTTAAATGGCTTTTGTCCCCCCATCTTTTTAGCTCCCCCCTGACAAAAAAAACAAAATAAGCTCGGGCGATATCCCCAACAGCACCACACCCTCCCAGAATCGCCCCGGGACCATCCTTACTGCCGGTGTTGCTGAGGATGCCGCCTTGTAAAGCAAAGCTACGAGTGACAGCGCAATCTTGCCCGGATCGGGGCCTGACGGGGCCCGATCGGGGCCCGACGGCGCAATCGGGGCCCGATCGGGGCCCGACGGTGCAATCGGGGCCTGATCGGGCCCGACGGTGCAATCGGGGCCCGATCGGGGCCCGACGGTGCAATCGGGCCCCGATCGTCCCGCGGTGCAACCCCAGCCACGCATATTATAGCTCAACGCCGGTTCTCCTTAGTATGCGGATTGCAACTGCATCTATGGCAAAACTAGGCGATGCCAGCTTGGTACAATTGACGGGGCCCGACTGAGTCGGGCCCTGATTGGGGCGCGATGACGCGATCGGGGCCGATCGGGCCCAAACGGTGCAATCGGGCCCCGACAGTGCAATCGGGTTCTCATGCAACTTTCGCGGAGCTCAGCGTGAAACTTTGTTGGAACCTTTCCTCAGGGCTGCCCCATAGCTTTTGCAGAATTTGGTGGAAACCTTCTGACCGCATAGCCCTCGCAGCCTCGTGGAATTCTTGGAACCAAAGCCCACCAAGCAGCAATGCCAAGCATTTACTCTGCTGCACCGTGAGTCCCGCAGCGACGTGATCTGATTTGCCACAAAGCCAACATTTGCCTGAGCAAGTGAGCAAGTCACAAAACAGCGAAAGTGTGCTAACAGCCATTGATTTCGGTTTTGCTTAGTGTTCCGCCCACGAGCAAAGCGATCTTGATCCGATGGCTTTCAGACGACGGGCGCACGACACATCCTTGGTGGAGCATTGTGGAGCCTTGTGGAACCCGTGTGGAATCCTTGCAGAGCTTTGTGGAACCCTGTGAAACCTCAGGGCCCACAGCCCTTGCAGAATCTTGTGGAACCCTGAAACCCTCATACAACCTTACCTCAAACCACCCCGGACCACCCCGCAGCCCTAGAACCGTGCTGGAATGGAACCTTACCTTGCAAAACCTGGTGGAATTCTGGTGGAATTCTCATGGAACATTGCCTCAAACCAGCCCGGACCGCTGGTGGAACCCTGGTGAAACCCTGGTGGAACCCTCGTGGAACCTTCCCCGGACCACGCCGCACCCCCGAAGAAATTGGTGGAACCCTGGTGGAACCCTCGTCCGGAGCACGACGGGCTGGTGGAACCCTGGTGGAAACCTGGTGGAACCCTCGTGGAACCTTACCTCAAACCACCTCGGACCACCCTGCAGCCCTCGCAGAACCTGGTGAAACCCTGGCAGAATTCTGATGGAAATCTGGTGGAACCCTCGTGGAACCTTCCTCAAACCAGACCACCCCAGCCCTCGAAGAAATTGCTGGAACCCTGGTGGAACCCTCGTGGAACCTTACCTCAAACCACCCAGACCACCCCGCAGCCTGGAACCCTGGTGGAACCCTGGCGGAACCCTCGTGAAACCTTCCTCAAACCCGCAGCCCTCGAAGAAATGAACCCTACCTCAAACCACCCCAGACCACCCCGCAGCCCTTGCAGAACCTGGTGGAACCCTGGTGGAACCCTGGTGAAACCCTGGTGGAACCCTGGTGGAACCCTGGTGGAACCCTGGTGGAACCCTGGTGGAACCCTGGTGGAACCTTAGCTCAGGGTCGCCCCCGGAGCCTATCTGGGCTGAGACCCCAAAGCTTTCAGCTGTTGGGGAAAAACACTGAGCACATCTTATCTTGACACGCCTTGCCGCAACAATTGCTGTGGCTATCGATCCTTGGGGCAGGTGTCATTCTAAAAACAACATGGAACCAGCGCCGTCGATGTCAACCAAAGGACCGAAAAGAAAAGCTATGCTTCCAAACCCACCCAAGGCCCCCATGGTTGCCAGGCGCGAGCTGAAGGCATCGGTGGAGGCACTCCTGACGGGTCAGCGGCCGCATCTGGGATATGGATATGGCTTGAAACCCAGATGGGTCAGCGTAGGGAACATGCTTCTGGCGGAATTTAGTGAGTCGCCCCATGCTCCTACCAATGGACCAAAGACAACAAAGGGTTTGCGACTAAACAAGTATGCTCGTGCGCGCCTGTGGGGGGCGAGATGTTCAGTGACGCCTTCTACCTAATGAAGGTCCCACAAATAACAGGGTCAACACTCAAGTAGCGTCTCCTTTGGAACATGGAAGCTCTACTAAATCCATGTATCTAGCTTTGCTTTTTGTTTGAACCTGCCAGCCGGGCTGCCAGCCAGCTCCATCTGAAGCTTAATGAGAGGAGCAAGGAACAGTTGAACGTCGAAACAATGTTTGTTCCCGAACAAAGCTTCAACCCTCAACATCTGTGTTACTTTCTCATAGGGCAAAATAATAACAATAGCATTTGGATTTGATACGAAACATAATTCCACCACTAAGAGGGGCGGCTATGTTAAGACAATCCAGGCCGCCGGATCTCTTGACATGTAAAAGCTGCCCTGGCGTCATGCGTGCAGCTCATGCGCCGGCCTGCGGAGGCGCGCGCATGCCGACCTCTGTGGCCTGGCTGATTCGTCTTGAGCTGATCACTGCGATGTTTGCTTCCATTGGGTTGGATCTAAGCACAAATGCATGCTTGGATACTGCACGCTGCCAGGCCAGGGTTTGCTTCATTCTTGGTTCATCCAACCAACGTACAGGCCTATGGGCTTTGTGGGTTCCAAGTGTAGCTTATCGACGCTTGTCGTGGCACATTTGGGGTCTCTAAATCCTTTTGGTGTCCCTCGACATCCCTCAACAACCAAACAATGTGGTACCTCCACAAAATAAGAACGGACATGCCTGGGCCGTGTCAGCTCTTCCAGCAGAACGCTCCCTCGCCTACGGCCCGGTTCGGGGAATCCAGGGTACCCCGCAAAAAAGACACGCCCTAGATGACCAATATTAATTTTCCTTGTACTTTGCAAATGGTGGTTCCCTAGGCTACCTACAGGTGAATGGAATCACAAAGGACCCCTGCTTTTTTGACGACGAAGAAGCCACAGAAAACCAAACTTAGTTTGACCAGCACACAGAAATGGTCGCTTTCCTTTCCTGAACAATGGCCTCTTAGGCCAGCTACAGAACACAGCAACAACAACAGTAGTCAGTAGGCCCTGACCTGCCCTAGGAGGCATTGCCCAAAGGCAATCTCTCACGTAACCAGATGAAAACGCCCTTGGCTGAAGCCTCCCGATTCAGGGGCCAACACATTCTATCTCCATCAGCTTCTTCGCTCGCAATACATGGGCATCCTGTCGTTGGGGCTCCAGCTTTGATCTTGCAGCATGGAGAGGTCAAGTTCAGTCCTACTGTCCAGCCCTTTGCCACAGCAGTTGCTACCCTGTGTCTGTGTTCTAGCTCAAATTTATTTCTGCGCGCCTTTGGAATTCATGCTGTTGAGGCAGGCACGAGGAGCGGTCCAGCAGGGCAAATGCGTCTGCAGAATCGTTGCAACCGAGGCCTGCACGGGGAAGAACTCTGGCAAACCCGAAAAAACATCTGCTTCCAAGGGGGCAACCAAAGGAACTTCTTCCACTTTTCCACCCACACCTCTCTTGCTCAATGTTTATACGCCTGCTCGCTCCCAAAAGCCCCTTGACAAACACACCGACCAGCACTCTGCTTCGCAGGTCACTTGGATCTTTGCAGTGGGAAGCTCGAAACCCAGAGTTGGACTCTCCATCAAAAGGGCCCAGAGCTCGACTCGCTGGAAAGACTCGGAGAATGTGATGCTCGGTTTGGCACGGTGCTGGCGGGACGTAGCCCTTGACACCTGAACTGTCAAGGGAAAACTGAGTTTCTCTAGGCCCACCCGTGGTGGTGCATTGTAGCTATGGAATCCGCATCGTGTTTGATTTAGGAAGGGTCGAGTCCAGCATAACAAACATCCCGTCAAATGTTTGTCCGATGTTCGCCTGCGAGGGGAGGCAAAGTCGGGAAACAAAGGGACTCAGCAAACAGTTGGTTTGCTTGGCATCTCTGTGTCCATTTGAAAATAGGAATTATTATAGGACTGAAACGGATCAAGATGGCCTAGAAAGGACGTGGACACCCACGTCAACACCTTGGCATCATGGTGGCCTTGCAGGTCCTCATCCTGCAGGCCGATCCTTGCTGCAGCTTGGCTGGAAAATATAGGCCCAGGGAGGTGACCCCCAAATGAGCTTCCAATCCAAAAGTGTTAGACCACCAAAAGCAGTCACTTTCATAGAGATATGCCAGGCATGTCTAAAGGAGGCTCGCGCAAAGATCAAAGGCTGGCCGACGGGCACGCATCGCTAGACTCGCTATTTCTCTGATGCTAGGCCGCCTGCACATGCAAGCCGTGGATGAAATCCGATAAAGACAGCAAGCCTCGGCGCCTTGCACGGCAAGCTTGGTGGTGGTGCGAGGGTCAGGGATACCCCAAAATGGTTCCTTATCTCTGTATCTTAATGTCGGAAGTGCCTTTCAGAGCTGACAGAGTCGCTGACTGGAACCAATTAAGTGGCTTTTTGCATCCGCAAAGCCGGACTTCACCCTGGAGGGGCAAAGAGCAGTCCACGAAACAAATCGCTCCCTACTCTCTTTCCCCCTCCCCCCCGCAAAAGACCGAGGATTTGCTACAAAGCCAAAGAATTTGAATCAGATTGTGCCTTCGGGCCTTCGGAAAGGAGTGTGTATTCATGCGAAGGACTCCTTGGTCCCTTGCCCTGACTGGCAACATGCGATGCATTGACCGCGCGGATTCCCTGCAAAGTACTTACAAGCTGAATCACAAACGCAGGTCCTCTAACTGTGGCACGAGATCAACAAACCGGTATCCAGATTCAAGTCAAGGGTGGAAACCAATCACTTCGTCACGTATCAAACTCAGGTTCACACTCAATAGTTGGCTTCCCTTCGGCTCCCTCTGCTTTCCTGATGTTTCCTTTTCAAGCCATCGATCCACAAAAAAAAAATCAAACATCCCCCGTTTTAAGGAGGCCCTGAGAATCAGAATCAAAGGCGCGCACTCGCCCGTAAAGGCGGACTCCAGGCGCCGGGTGGAGCCGCCCAAGCGCCAAATCACCTTCAAACGGCCCACACAGAAAGACTGACGTACCGTGGATGGACAAAATCCGTTCGCATCACTTTGACATTTATGGGAAACTAGTATGTATTGGTATTTGCAGAGGAATCATCATTCCAGGCTTTCTTAGGTGGTGCAGGACGGAGTTCTCTCGTGACTCCGAACAGATAGCTGCATCATTCTGTGATGGCACTCTTTTTGGATGGTTAGCAAGAGAACCAAACCAATCGGAAAACAGCCACTTGCGGGGGTCCTCTACCTCAAGGCACACCCACAGGTGCCCTAGAGCAAGCCCACAAAGCAATCCCAAAAGGATATGCTAACAAAGACAAGTCCATTTCCCTCTATCCAATAACCTGCAATAATTGACGGCATGGCACACATACCGATTGGATAAAGGCTTGTATCGCACATTTAAGGCTCCTTTGGGTCATTGCAATCAATGGATCGGGCTGACTGACCCCTCCACACCAGCATCCCCCAAAAGTCAATGATTTCCATTCACTGTTGGTGGCTTGAGAAAACTCGGCACAAGTAAACAAATACCATTCAACCCGGTGCCAATTTGCCATGAATCAAAATAGCCTCAGCACACCCTTCCGAATGGTCTCAACATACAATTTATCACAATGACCCTCCTGGAAGAACAACACAAATTGAAGGGATCCCTCACTTGGTGACATAAAGATCCCCCCCAACCTGTAACAGGGCAACCCTCTCAAAAAGTGCGCAGGGGCTCTTTGTTGGGTCGCAGCTAGCCCCTATCTCGCGCTATCATTGCGTTGCGCCTCCTTCAACGCAGCCTCCCGCAGCGAGTCAGGTACGCCGACCTCTCAAACTCACACAAGGCACGTTGAGAATCAGATGGGGCACCGGAATTGGATGTTCATGCCTCTTTTTCCCAACCTGTCGGATTCGTGGTAGGTAGCCTTCGAAATGCAAGATCTTAGATGAAATCAGAGTGAAGCTTCCATGCTGACTTGAAACAGGATACCTATAACCTGGAGCATGTATCTGGCTATTCCTGCGCCCAAAGCATCCCAAACCGAAGTGATGTGCAGTTGTTGGCAGCCCTCAGAATCTAATGGCATTTCTACAACAAGCATGATGAAACTTGATCTTGTCAGGAGGGCACGGCATGAACCATGATTGGAACAAAAATGATCGGAGTTTGTCAGTGTCTCGGACCTGGCTGGAGCGCATCCTCACCAGGAACCGCCATCCATCTTGCGCATGGACCAAGCATTGTTAATTTGCAAACGTGCATATTAGATAACAGCCAAGCGAGCAACATGGGAAGGCTCTGAAACAAATGCCCGTCGCAAATCTGTCATAAATGAACATGCGTAATGTCTATGCATAGTAGGATATATACAAATGAATCGATCACTCCTTTTGCTTGGCTGACATTGCGCATGTCATTGGCTTGTTCGAGTCCTTGAGTCCAAGGATGCGGGACACATACATGTCTGAAGCATGCTACAATCCAGCTTTGCACTACTCGCTGCATTGCCTCCCAACATGGCCTCCACTATTCACCTACAAATCTATTCAACGTGTTGTTTGTCTCATCGCAACTGCCCGGTAGAAGTGCGTCAAACTCCTTGCACCCCTTGCACCTGAATGACTTGATCAGCAAGAAAGTATGAGGAAAGCGATCCTGGTCCAAACTACGAATCTGATCCTTGATGAAGCAACATATTGTTTAGCCACAAGTGTCAAGACAAATTCAGGGGCACACCTCCAAACGTGTGCCATCCTCCCGCTCTTGTTTTGGTTCTGCTGCAACAGTAACATGTCAGCCACGAAACTCAGTGACTTTGGGCATCGCATTTGTGTCCTTTCTTCTGGGCCTATTTCAAACTGGGCCCTGGCTCGTTGGCCCAGCACCAAGACGCACGAAGCAGTGGGGCGTTTTGCGTGCGGATTGCCCGGTTGAGCTGAGAATCAACTTGCGTTGGTAAAGCGCCCAACCACGCTTTCTGCCCTCGCCACCTTGTCATTGGAACTGCAATCTCCGCACACAACTTGAAGAAAACAGGGTGAACGCCGTGCCTGGCATCTTGCGGATCGCCCCCTGGAGTGAACTCTGAGCGACAACCACACCTCTCCGAGCGAGCCTCTGATAGTCTCAGGTCTGACGCGTGTGCGATGTGAGGGCCTGTCCTGTAACATGCAGAGAATCATGCAGCACCCAACCAAAGCCTTCCGAGTGAACGAACATTTGGGTACGTGTGCATACAGCTTATGGATGCTTCTGGGCCAATGCAGCTTGTGGGTCACTTGAAAGGCGTTGGATCTGAGATTGGATTCCTTCAGTCATCAACAAGGCTGCGGTGGAGATCTGGTCTGCTCCTTTAATGTCACACTCTTGGAGGGCATCATTCTGTGGAACAACTCGCGCCTGCGCGCGATACCTTTCCTCACAGGAACTGAAACGCTGTCGGGCACCCCGCGAATCTGTATGACTTCCGGCACCAGGCAGAACTGTTGATGCAGCAACTTGTGCTGTAGTGTTGTCTTGGGATGGGCAGTGATTGCAGACACTCAACCAACATCACTCCAAGCAAAGCAGCAACGCATTCAAACCACCGTCGACTCGCTTGCCGGGCGCTGTGCTGAAGCCTGTCAGAGGTGGCAAGCCAGCACCGGTTGGCGGCTTCCGTACTAACAAATGGATCTGGCAGTAAGCTACTGCCTCGTCTAAAGGGCTTGCACGAGCACGAGTCGGCGATGGCCAAGACACACAGGAGACGGGAGATGATTATCCCACGTATTTAAACAGATTCTCTCAATCGTCTCCAAGGTTGTTGCAAGCTCACAGGGTTGATGACCATTTCGTCAGCTTCTCTATCCCTAAGAACACACCCTACTCAGCTTGGTTTGTTGTGTGTCTCGATCTCTGACAGCTTCCGGCCATTCATATGCCATGCTGCCAGGGCATGCAAGTTGCACTGCAATATTGTCTCATTTGTGAGGGTACTCATTTGGGGCTTGGTTTAAAGGGGAAACAGGGAAACCGCCCACATTGGGGGTTGCCTCATTTGGAGACGAACCAGCTTATCATCCACGCAAGAAGCTTCGGCTCAGGAAGCTGCAAAGCTTGTGTTTGCTTCCTAGAGCCGTCTCCACGAGCTAGACATGAATTCCTGCTACGTTCATGCACCGCACCAGGTTCTCTTTGCCGCGAGGCGTCGAATCGTTTGTCCTGATCGACAACACAGTGGCGAACATGTGAAGGGGTGCTATCAATTGCTCGCTGTGCTTATCGGGAGGTTGACTGAAGCTGCTGTGTTGAGGTGCATCTGAGAATTGATGTCTGGGTTGGCCCAGCATGATGTACGCAGCGTAGGTCCTCCTGCCTGCTGGTTGCCGTTGACTGAGTGAGTGGCTGCGCTTATGATGGCAACACTTTCAATGCAGCTGGACTTGCGCTTGCAGAGCAGATTCAGTCACCAGCCAGCTTGAAGGTACAACGAAACAGCTCTGCAACATTGTGAGCATTGCGTCCAATCAAATGGGCCATGTATTGGGGTGTGTCTCAAAGTTGCTCTTTGCGCCAACATATTTCCCAATATGGTGCTACTATTCCCATCCACCTTTTGGATCGGCTTGATGCTTGGGGGGCTCTCAAACACACTGGAGGGTTGAAACGTGGCTCAAAGCTCCTGTCGGTTGAAACCTCCGGCTCCGCGCTGTTTGTCTCCGCTGGCAATCTGCACGGCCTCCAGGGGTCATGGCCAGGGTTGTTGCTTTTTGTTGGGTCCCTATAGGCAGGCACCGTCCTAAGCCATGCGACGTGAGTAATACCAGAAGCGCCTGGAGCAGTAGCGGAGCAGAAAGACGCCCAAGCACTTCAAGGCGGCATTTCCTTGTTCTGCCATAGCTCCAGAAGCACTTGAGGCTTCTTGGATCGTTCGATTGAGAGACTTGCTCTACTACACGCTCTGATCCGGCTGCTGCGAGTCAGGACAGAGTGAGCAAACACCAAGGCTCCACACAAAAAAGAAACAAGATCAGCCACTGAATCTGCTCCACCTGGTCTACTTGGCAGATTTGGCGATTGGGGTGATTGGTAGAGGGAACCTCCTGCGTGAACCGCTTCAATTTGTTGAAATGCCCACTTTGATGCATCGCTTAGCATGATGCATGGACAAGATGTATCTGCTAAAAGGGTCGGTTGAATGCGCCACTTCGATGTGTTGCGGGTTCGAAAGCGGCGCTTGGATGTTCCCAAAAGCTATCAAAAGCTGTATGGCAATGTGGATGTATCAATAGTGCCAAATGTTCTACAACCTGGGCCACTGTCTCCAATGCTTTAGACGTCTCCTCCTTCGCTTCGAGAACAGTCGGCACAGCGGCGGCCGATGCTGGCAGTGTTTTGGGGGTCACGAGACTTGGAATGCGCGGAAGGCGTCGTTTGGAAGCCGACCGACATGAGGTGGAGTCCACCTTTTAAAACCTGCTTTGAACAGAAAACAAATATTCCCCAAGGCGAGAACAACGAAAAAACAGTTCAATATGGATCGTATGAGGCAAACTGTCTGGCGAGTCAGGTTAGATTCATTTTGGTGTCGATCTGCTTCTGCATGATGCACCAATGAAAAGGTCCTGTAGCCTGCGGAAAAAAAAGTAAATGCCAAAAGTCATCGAAGCTGTCTGGACACTGTAAGACTAAGACACATTTTTTCCAGCCGGTTGGCCAAGTTCATTTCGATGCGACGGAAAGGGCAGCTGTTTTAGCCTTGAAGCCCTGATTGGCCCAATCGGATAGTCAAGTGCAGCATCGTGAAACTCGCGTAGTGACGTGACAAGCTGTGCAAGCAAGAAGCTCAAAACAAGAAGCTGTAGCAGACTGTACATGTGCATAATTTCATTTTGATTGATCTACACAATGTGTTCATTCTTTATTGAATTGTGCTTGACAAGCTACCTTCTGAAGAGACTGTTCTCGATTTTTGGAGAACAAACAAGCAAGCTGTGCGGCTTTGTGATGTTTGGCAACCCGAACCCATATTTTGAACAACTCGTGCTTCTTTGACCATGTCGTTCTCTCAGAGAATCTCAAAGGTCAAAGACCTGCCCTGGATCCACCTCCATCCTAGACTCGCTCCAAGCTCCCATCTCCCACGTCAGAACATCCTCAGCTGAACATGAGATGACCATGGCTCCAAAAATGGCTCCGCGAGCTGAGTTGCTTGCATTTGCCTCATTGATTTTGCGGTACCTGAGGAAAAGAACAGAGTCCCCAGTCATGGTGTTTTACCATAGGGATTTGTTTCACCTCAATAAACCTCCGGCCATTAGTGCTTTCAAGAGTGAGATCTTGAAGATACCAGGCTGAACTAAAAACGTGGGAAATTGGATGGGGCAAACTGATGCCGTTGAAAAATTGTCTTTGAATTCCGTCTCATGATTGAAATGTGGACATCATCTTTCAAGAAAGAGAACCATCTCAGTTTGCAAGTTGAAGCACCACATCTGCCTGTCGTCTTCGACCCACCTGTACCCTGGACAAGTGGATTTTGATGACTGTTGCACCCTTCGCTGACAAGCAATCCCGGTCACCCAAAACACAAGTGTTATCTAAGGACAAACAAAATATGTTGCACCGCAAACCCGCAGCTGACTTGGTCTATTTGTCCAAATTTCTCAATGGGTAAACGGGAGGTACCCCTGAACATGTTTCTCGAGCGCATTCCATCCCCCACTTCGACTTGGCACGATCTGTAGCTTCTCCTTCGAGTCGTCTGCTTTACCATAGCCTCAGAGCGTCCAAATGGCGCCAAGCAAATATCCCAAAACAAGCTATATAAAAGTCCCTCCCCTCGGGGAACAAGATGAAAAATGATTCAAAGGTGCCGAAAGATTCATTCCTTTCGTGTTGCTTTTAGGCAAGAAGAAGTTTGGGGCCAGAGCATATACGTCTAAATCGTTTACAATCATCTGGCACCCGCCTTCGTAAAAACCCGGCCTTTCAACATAACTTTGAAACTGCAGCTGGGTAGACGCGTATGAGAATTCAACTTTGCGTGATGGCGAATAGATGAAAAGCCCTTACTAAGAGAAGAGGCTCCAAATGCGGTCTTCTTGTTCTCAGTAGGACGCATCCAACATGCGAAACTCAAAACACGACGACCGTCCAATCTCCAGGTGGCATGGTCTTGGACATCTTCTCCCCAATCTCACACGACAACACACATATATATATATATATGTATATATGTATATGTCTTCTGTTCCACAGCCTCGTTTGTGGTTCCTTCACTTTCAGTGGCAAAACAAGGCTATTGGTTTGTCAAGTCACCCTCCAACCTGGGGTGATAACCCAAGACCTCCATCCTCCAGCCAAGCTTCGGTAATTGATCCATGCAGCAGGACTGACACCATCCTGCTCTTCAACTGGCTTTGCAGGGAAGGTGAGAATACCTTCCTCCTGTGTTGACTCCACCTTTGCAAAGAAGAACTTCCCATCATCCTCAGCAGCTTCACTTGAAAGCATTCGCATTCCGGAAACGAAAGAATAAGACATCTGGGAGCACCGAAACACAGTTTGGGTATCATTCAAAACCAAACGCCATCAAAAAAAGCTAGATGAACATCCACGGGAGGGGGCCTATTTTGGTTCTGCTGGACGTTCACGAGACCTCTATCGAGGTGCCGTGAGCCAGTCACTTTCTTCGACACACCTATCCCCGCCGCTCCAAGTGGCTCCTAGCGGTCGACAGTAGACTCGCACCTTCTTGCACCAAGACATGTCTTTCTGGCCCGCTTTGATGCTCATCTCGGTGATACGCTGGACCAACTTCTTTTCATCCTGCAGTCGCACTCGGTTTTCCAACAAGGGAAGACAGTGTTCCAAATTGTACTTATAGTATGTTTGTGCTATGGTTGTTATCTTACTTTCTGTGTCTGTCTGTCAGTCAGTCTGTCTCTATATATGGTTATGTCTGAATATGTGTATATATATATATATGAATATGTATTAATTTGGGTACACTCTGTTTCAGAATTGCTTGGGGCTGCAACAAACACGTCTTCAAAGGCCGCGGAAGGGTTTCGGGGGGGGGGGAGTGGCAATTGCGTTTGGTGCCATGTATATTGTTGCCGTTCAGCGTGGGCCCAAATTTAGACTTGTGCCACGCGTGTTGTTGTCTCACCTAGAACATACTACTTCGTCTGAGCCACCAACAATGTCCACCAACAATGTCCACCAAAATGCTGCCACATACGTGTGCTGTCTGACATCAATATTTACACCTGGATCAGTTTCAGGGCATTTTCAGCTCTTGCCTCGGATCAGTTGCAGCAGGGTTGGAAGTGGTGCGTGGCCTGCGTTCAACTCCGAATCAGACTACAACTATATGTGTATATATATATATATGCACAGCATCTAGCTCTATCTCTAGATCTGTCTCTATCTGGATATCTATATGTCGATCTGTCCATCTATCTACCTACCTATCTATCTATCCATCCATCCATCCAGCCATCCAGTCTATCTATGACTCTACGTATCGTAGCTACCCATCTATCTATCTATCCATCTATGTATCCATCCATCTATGTGTCCATCTATCTATCTATCTATCTTTCTATCTATCTTTCTATCTATCTATCTATTCATCCTATCTATCATCTCTAACATCTCTAACATCTCTAACATCTCTATCTATCTATCTATCCATCCAGCCATCCATCCATCGCTATCCTATCCTACTACCATTGTCTACTCACTAATCTCTTTATTCAGTCATTCATTCACATATTTATTCATCTATGTGTTCCCAAAGACGGACGAACTCCAGCTAAGGCCATCCGCATCGTCGGTCCTCGTGCGACCAAAAGTCTTTGCATTCCTGGCACCATCGGTTTGTCGCAGCAAATGTTGAACAATTCACGGCAACTTTTCACAGTTGCAGTAAATAGGTCTGCTTTGGTCAGCTGCCTAATTCAATGACTTGGCATCTGCATCCCTGTCTCTCCATTCTCCGAGTATGCCCAGTGACCCAATGTGACTTTGTCACACCAAGCTGTCAGATTTTTGGCCTCTTGCACCGAAGAAACTACACTTTAAGCGAACTCACCTTAGGCAGACAAACCTGGTCGTCAAAGACACACACACACACCACGGCACACCACCTAAACAAACCAATCCGCTCAGGTTTAAAATGACTTCAATACCTCTCTATCTCGGCGAACCATCTATCTGCACATATCTGCTGCAACCGCCGACACCCGCCGATACAAACGATGACGACAACAACAACCTCCAACAACCCTCCAAACCGTCTACCTCAGTACCAACCCAACATTGCCACCTCGACGCTCATCCACGTCCAGCATACCCTTCATCCCGCCTTTTTCAGGGATCTGCATAACTCCTTCCAAACCTCCAAGGAGATCTTCGCATTTTCGTCCCGTTTCACCCCACCTACATTCGCTCCGAAGACCGCAGCGATCAACTCTTCCAAGGTGGACATTCCCTTGTGCGTGTCGTGAATCTTGGGGTCGCAGCCGCCTTTGCTCCTTGCCAAAAATGGAAGAATGTCAAACGATACTACTCTGCTTGTTGACGTTTTTTGCAGTTGGACCGCAGTTGGAGAAGGACCAAAACAACAACTGCCTCAAGATGTACTGAAATGAGGTTGAGCTCGTCTGCACGTGGCTTCGTAGAATCAAGCAAGACATATCAGCCTGGAGAACCCAAACTAAGTGATTGGAAACAGTCAAAGCGGAGGCCACATTGTCCGAAAACGGTTCGAGTCCGCATTTATGATGCAAACGATGTAGTAAAACATCCTGCGGTACAAAAAATACCAACCAGCGGCGGAGCGAAAACAACAACATCAACAGCCAAGACTCTGAGTGATAATTGGGCGCACATCCACGCCCTTCTTTTTGTTCTCCATGTCATGGAAACTGTTGGAAATCGCCCTGTAGAAACTCCTCAAGATCAAAGTCTGCTTGTCCTCGGGGAAAGCTGATGCTTGAGTCGAGACGTCGATCGAAAATCATTCATAAGATGTTGCAATATGTTTGGATTTGCTCAACCCATCACAAAGCTTGGTGAAATCCACAACTCAAAACACAAAACACAAAACTTCACAACTCATCACATACCAAACAACGTCTTGTCTCCACAATAAACACAACGAAACAACAACGTGCCTCTGCATCATTCTTGAACTTTGCATAGGCTTCGGCCGAATAGTCTGTCGATGCACCACAGCCCATCAGCCCTTTCCGAGGCAGAAACAACGAAGAGCTGGCTGGAGCCTAAAGAGTTCTTCAAGGTTTGGTTCGACGTTCTACGTTCGATGTTCATGTGGGCATATGGAAGTGGGTCATGGGTAGCCAGTTGTAGAGAGCAAAAAACATTGTATAAACGGATGGTAAACCCCACATCCCCATGATTAAGGGACTAATAGTGGGCTTTTGCCCACTGCCATGTCCGTTCATGTTATTAAATTGTGTTGTGCAAAATCGGGTGAACAAAGATGGAGGTTTTGACGTTCAGCATAATGGCTTCGATCTGAAGTTTGGGGCATGAGCTTAACCATGACATGAAGATGCATGAAAGTAAAAAGGGGGGCTCTGATTGGATCTTAGAGTGCTCGAGGCCAGGAGAAAAACAGAATCTGAACCTCCAACACGCACAAAAGGATCATAAGGAAGGGACTACAAAAATGATGGCTCTGGCCCGACAGCTTCGTATCTGTACTTCAAATCAACACCATGAACATGAATGAGTGTGATATGTTCTGGTTCATCCTGCCCCTTACGAACTCATGAGATCCGTGTGGAGATTACGTTTGGACATCAACAGCACGATTTCCCTCGAGTCCCTGGGATCGATCGTCATCTCCCCGCGAACAGGTTGCAAAATGCTTGCGTAGACCAACTTCCAGCAATACGATGCTAAACAGCAGCTCTTCTTGGCGCTGGGCTCATTCGTTCAGGAGCTGACAAGGTGCAACATCTGCTGACAGCTTCATTTTTTTTGCCCCATTGTCACAAGCCAAACGAACAAATGTCCACACTGCAGTTGAAAGTGCGCAGCACTTTTTAACCTTTCCGCCATTCTGCGTTGGGAAAACTGGCGGAAAGCTCCACATCATCCCACAAGCAGGAAGATGTGTGGGAAAACGTGAGGCTCCAACACATATCACCATATCGCTTCTGATGCTAATGAACCCTGAAGCCGCACGAAGCCAACATGGATCAACGCCCCGAGCACCAAGAAACAGCAGCTGGCGGGGCCAGCTGAAAAAACACAAACTCCTCAGGCTCCAGACATCGCGTTCAGGCTTGCACCAGTGTCGACCTCCTCCCACTCGTCCGGGCCCTGAACACGAGTTCAATCACGCCAACTCCGGATCAAACCAAGCAAGGGTGGCCACTGCTATCTGTCCAGAGGGCGATCTATCTGTCAAGCTACCATTATCAAGAATGTATCTGTCAAGCTACCCTTGTCAAACTATCTATCTGTCCAGCTATCTATCTGTTGGGCTATCTACCTGCCAAGCCATCTGTCAAGCTATCCCTGTTGGGCTTTCTATCTGTCAAGCTGTCCATTTGTCAAGCTAGGCTGTCCATCTTTTAGGCTATCTATCTGTCCAGCCAACCATTTGTCCAGCTATCGCAAGAAACAAACATCTCGCGGCCTGCGCTTCCTTACCTATCTGTTTACTTCCCTGTCTGTTCTTTCTAATTTCATGTTCTATCTATCTCATCTTACTTTCTATCTATCTGATTCGATCTATCTATCTATCCATCCATCTACCTGCCTAACCTAGCCCATGTCAATCGATCTCTCAAATCTTAGCTATCTGGATATCTAGCTATCTGTCTAGCTGTCCGTCTGTGTTTATCAATTTTCTGAGAGTGCTGCGCCTGCCACAATGTCTACACCTGACTTTGCGAAAGACGTGCTGC